AATTTTCTGCGAACTTACTGCAAAAACCTGTCCAATATTTTAACATCGCATTAACCACGGAGGCGGAATAATCCGGTTGTAAGAAAATCATCATGGCGAACCCACAGTCGAAAATGGCCGAGAGGAATAAAGCCAAACAAAATCCGAGGTCTTCCGGTCGGCCCCATAACTTTACAGAAATCGTGCGCACCCCACCATACGCGGTTGCGCTGAATAGTCCCAGAGTGTGGAGAAAGTGCCATAATCTAGTTTCCGGTATTACTACGAGCTTCTTTTTCTTACGTTTCCATAGAAATGGAGACCCCCAAAGACCGTGGTTAGATTTATGTGGTTACCAAAAGCGTTGTAGAATAGTGTGGAAAACTTGTGGGTTGGAAACTTTGGTTTTCGAGTTTCAAAGAAGTACAGTTTTTTGCAGTTTTTTATAGATTAAGAAATTTATCGAGCCCACCGACGGGCTCGACAAGACAGCCTGTTGTTATTTACCCTTTCCAGAGACTTTGTTCTGTTTAACAAGTATATATTTTTCACTAAATCCATAATTAAAGTACCTCGAAAACGGTAACCTATGGTGATTATAGGTTTTGTAGGATCATAATCTTTTTAGCGACCGAACAGTCTATATTATAATTCGGATTGTACATGGTTACGAAAGTAAAGGTATTTGTCCGTGACGGAAGTGAAAGGGAGAAAGAGGTTTGAAAACCGGATAAGCAAGGGAGAAGCTGAAGATAAGTCGATTATATCTATATATACGCCTAGAAATAATTTTACTCTTTTGAAAAGTAATCACGATTTCAATTCTAGATTAAGTAAACGATACAAAATCAAGACTAACGTTAACTATATAAAGAGCTTACTCAGGATTTACATAGTTTACTTTACTTGTAAAAGTCGAGTATCAGAGGAATTTCGGAAACGACAAAAATTGCATAAATATCGAGAATGATTAGAATATTTACAACCTCGAGTACCCGAAATTATTGTACATAAATATGTCAACCCAATCATTCTATTGATGCACCTACAATATCTCAACCTACGCACGTATGTACATGTTTATGAACGGGATAAGACGGGCTTATTTCCTAGTAACAAATACTGACAATGAGGAGGTGTGAGGTGGTTATCGCCGATATCCACCGGACTAATTTTAAATTGTTCAGGTTCAAAAATAAGTGGACCCGTATTTTTTCGTTTTCCTGAATGGGCATGTTTACGCCCTTGGCGGAACTTTCAAAAAAAAATTCAGCCAAAATTCGGATTTTTGAAAACGCTGTAACTTTTCGAATTTTGACCCGATTTCAAAAAATAAACCCATTTTTTGTTCAGAATTACATCCCTGAAAATATAAAAATTCATTTTTAAAAATTTTAAAAATTTAATATTTTCATGCTATTTCTGAGTTTTTATACACTCAAAAAAAGATAATTTTTTTTAAAATGAATTTTTATATTTTCAGGAATATAATTCTGAACAAAAAATGGGTTTATTTTTTTAAATCGGATTAAAATTCGAAAAGTTACAGCGTTTTTAAAAATCCGAATTTTGGCCGAAATTTTTTTTGAAAATTCCGCCAAGGGCGTAAACATGCCCATTCAGGAAAACGAAAAAATACGGGTCCACTTATTTTTGAACCTGAATAATTTAAAATTAGTCCGGTGGATATTTGGCGATAACCACCTCACACCGTCGCATTGTGAGTCATGTCCAATTCTCCAATTACAATCATTCAATAACCTTTACCGGTAATTTATAAGCAACAAGGCAAGAATAAATTATGGTGTTTAATACAGTGTCGGACAGATGTCTACGTCCACATAGTCGCGTCAATTTCATTTTCAAATTGTCACTGAACTACTGAACCAATTTTCATCATTGATATATCAAATTCTCACAAATTTAACGTAATTTCATAGCACATTATTAGTTTTCCGCTAAAAAATTTATTTTAGGCCAGAGATGTATTTTAATTCAAAATGAAAACAATTGGATGGACAAAAGTCAACGTCCAGTCAGAGAAAACATACAAAAAAAACTGTAATTTATAAGGAATGTTATAACAATTAATTTTTAATATTTGGTTGGGCCTCCGTTCGCTTTAAGGACGGCTTCAAGGCGTCGAGTCATAGAGTTTACCAAATTCTTGGTCACATCTTCAGAAATGGTTTCCCAAACTTCACGAATTCTGGATTTAAGGCCCGGAATTCCTGAAAAAGATTGTTTTCTTATTTCTCTTTCAATGTGGTCGCACAGATGCTCAATGGGATTCAAGTCTGGAGATTGGGGAGGCCATTCTAGCTTCGGAATTTTTTTTTCTTGAAGTATTCCATGGTGGACTTGGCAGAGTGTTTCGGATCGTTGTCTTGTTGGAAGGCAAATCGTCGTCCAAGTCCAAGTTTTCGAACAGATTCCTGGATATTACGGTCAAGTATTCCCTGGTACTTGTATTGGTCCATAATTCCGTCAATAAATTCCATTTTTCCTGCCCCACTTGAAGCCATGCATCCCCACACCATTACCGACCCGCCGCCGTGCTTAACTGTGGGGTTGAGATTTTTTGGATTCAAAGCTTCTTTTGGATATCTCCACACTCTAAGACGCCCATCTGACCCAAAGACATTGAACTTTGACTCGTCAGTCCATAAAATATGTCCCAGAATGTTTGTGGCTTGGAAATGTGGTCTCTGGCAAACTTCACTCGTTTGGTTGCATTCCTCGGTACAATAAGAGGCTTCCGGACTGCTCTGTGGGATTTCAAATTTCCCTTATTCAGTGTTCTTTGGATGGTCATAGGACTAACCTGTTTGCCGAACATCTCCTTGATCTCGGTAGATAGCTTTGGAGCACTAAGTGAGGGTGTAACGTTGACTTTGTTGAGCACGTGGCGTACTTCTCGGTGAGCCAAAATCGGTTTTCGACCACTTCTGACCTTGTTTTGGACTGAACCATTAGCTTTAAAGTTCTTAATGATTGTCTGGATGGTTGTCCTTGCTAATTTATACTTGGTCCATATTTGTCTCTGCGACAGCCCCCTTTTTGTCCACCCTTCCAGTCCTGAATGACAAGATCTCGAATAGCGATAGGAATTTCCTTGCGTGTCGACGCCATCATATTTTTCTGGAAGAAAATTATTTAAAAATTAATGCGGCATATGTTATTGATAGATTTATTAAGTTACCTGATTTTATAAATTGGAGAGATTTTTGTTGTTGACAATTAAAGTGAAGTGGACGTAGACTTTTGTCCGCTCAAATTTCATCCTCTCTCGCTCTGCACTATGATTCTCAGTTTTCCCAGAATTTTCAGAAATAACTCATATGTTTTATGAAATTACGTTAAATTTGTGAGAATTTGATATATCAATGATGAAAATTGGTTCAGTAGTTCAGTGACAATTTGAAAATGAAATTGACGCGACTATGTGGACGTAGACATCTGTCCGACACTGTACACATACTTATCCAGTAATCTTAAATAAAGAAATAAAGAACAAAGAAATAAATAAAGAACAAAATATTGGTTTAAACCAAATTTTCAATAGTTAAATACATCTGTACCTGCATACATATGTACATAAATATGTCCGGGAAGGAAATGCGTTGTTAGTTTGTGGAGGCTAAATGATTATATGGGTAGGAATGCGTAATTTCTGCCTACATAGTTTTTCCCCGATGTGAATAACCTACGAAAATAAAAATTTCTAACAAACAACTTAATGAGTAGTATTCATTCATTCATACATACATACCTAAGAAAAACAATGAGCGCACTCCGGTCAACCTTCTCATATCTCGAAAATTAAGCATCACAACATAATTTCGAAGTTTTGCGAGGTATGCGAGATTTCTCAAAAAATTTTCTGGAAGAACCATGTCATTTTTTTGTAAATTTACCCAGCACTTAGGCATGTTTATGTTCTTATTTCGCCAAAATTACATACTTCGCAACTTCATCGTCACCATCTCCAGCAACAGAAATTAAAGAAATCCATGGAAATAATACACAAATATGTAGGAATTGTTCAATAGATTTGCGCGATATTAGGGAACGTCCATATATTACGTCATCATTTTACTGGGTGGATAGTTTAGGTCGTCCTATCTTCCCATTTTAAAATTCCCTATCCCTTAATGTGTATGTTGGGCGGGTGGGTCCTAAAATCCATAATTTTTGATGACGTAATATATGGATGCCCCCTTGGAGAGATTTATGAGGTAAAATTTTGCGAGTCCCCTCACGACAAAAATATTTTTGATCTTTACAAGTTCGCTAAATTAGTTGCGATGCGAAATAAAACGTTGACGTGAGTACACCCAACATTAAAGTAAATCCATTCTTTAATTCATTCCATGAGTGAGGACATCGTTGTTGTTGTTTTTTTCATAATTTGGAAAAAGACCCCGGATCTCATTAACCTAAATTTTTTAACGTAATTAACAAACCACAGACAAAGGGGCGAATCAGAAAGAAAACAAAAACTCAATTTCACAATGCAGCCAAATTAAAAGGTTCCATTCCGTTCCATTGTCTCCATACATAATTAAGATGAAAAGCCACATTTTCACCTGCGAAATTGCGTGACTGTTGCAATTAAGGGAAGGATTTGATTATCCCCGAATTACTGAATAATTTAAGCTAAAAACCAAGCATAACACGGTTAAATTTTTAAGTACATACAGGGTGGTTAAAATGACACGGTACAATGAAAAAATTTTCGATGGGAAAAATTCGTAAATTTCTATTAGTTACCGAAATTTTATCTCTAAAATTCAACATTTGAATAATTTCGTCATCAGTTTTGGTAATAATTATAAAAACCTCAAAATCTTGTAAATAATGGAGATTTATAGGATTTTCCCATTGACAAATTTTCGATTCTAGCGTGACATTTAAACCACCCTGTACATACTTGTCAGCAATTCTACCCAACTAAACCATACGTGTAGACATTTCCTATAATTTCGTCCCCTTCCAGTCAGTCGTTTAAACTTTGCAGGTGAACCCGGACATACTTCATTGATTTTTTTTCCAAATTCCCATAAATAGTCCCCCCCAACTTTATTTCAAAGTTTACCCCTTCAATACGTCTTACCATTAGAAATGAGTAATTTCGTCGCCGCAATTGATCAAGGGACTAGCTCATCACGATTGATGGTAACCTTGTAAATCTATTTAAGGAATTCGTAATCTATTAAAATCCTTACAATGGAGGTCTCCCAACGTATGATCACAGATTTGGACCAAACTAGCGCCAATCGATCACAAATATATTCAATTAGTATGAAATTTGCAAATGGAAGTATCTGCTAATACGCAGGTTTGGCGGAGATATTTGCATAAAAATAGGAGAACACGCACTCAAATGCTGACAAAATTTTTCATTTTCCAAATCTGCTGCTTGGATGCAAATATCTCCGCCAAACCAGCGCATTGGAAGATAGTTCCATTTGCAAATTTCGTACTAATTATATTTGTGATCGATTGACACTAATTTCGTCCAAATATGTGAGCATACGTTGGGATTTGATTTGATTTTGATTTATTTCAATGAGGCACCCCACTGCATGGGACTTTACACCTCAAGGATAAAAAAGAAAGTCATACATTACACAATTTTCATTTTGCTTGTACATACATATACCAAATGATGATTACGTCATAGAAAATCTTGATACTCATCCGAATCGAATAACTCGAATAATTCTATAACTCTTTTTGTATTCTGGACATTTAAAAAGTACTTCTTCACCTCTTTTTTAAACATAATTAGACTCATCTTTCCATGCTCATTTTTTAAATTTAATGGTAGATTAGACCATGACATTGCTGCCCTATATTTAAAGGACTTTTTGGCAATATTATTACTAATTAAAATATGTGGCTTATAGTAAGTATTATTTCGAGTATTTCTATATATAACGGTGCTTATTGGTACATAATTGGCAAAATATTTGGGACAGCAGCCATTTAGCATTTTAGACACACATTTACACAACTCAGCCTGCACCATATTTTCCGCTACTAACCATTCCAAGTCGACTGATAAGTCATCGGATATAGGGTCATATTTCTCTTTATTGCATACATATCTTGCACATTTTCTGATTACCTTATTTACACACTTTAAATTATTCTTACCAAATAGCCATACAGGAGATGCGTATAACAGACTAGAGAATACCAGTGCATGTATTAATAGTACCTTATTCTTGCGTTCCACGACATTTTTTAGGGGACCAAGTGACCAAAGAGAGCTGTTACAACTTTTTATTACCTTATCACATTGATTATTGAACTTAAGGTCTTCATCCAATAATACCCCCAATAATTTTGTACAAGTAACCCTTCTAATAGCTGTGTCGTTAATTTGTATAACAATATCTGATCCAGCAGATTTTAATTTAGGGGGGCAAATACAATAAATTCACATTTATTTACGTTCAGTTCTTGCCTGTTTGCTTCCATCCAACGCATACTCCTATCCAGATCATCATTCAGATTATTTACAACTTGTTCTATATGATCAATATCACCAGAAATTAAAACACCACTGTCATCGGCAAACATAACACATAAACTGTTTTTTAAATGGTACGGCAGGTCGTTCATCATTATCAAAAACAGAATACAACTAATACATAACCCTTGAGAAAAACCTAGATTAGTAGGACGCGTGCTAGATGTTTTAGTACAATTATTGCAGGAGATACATACAAATTGTTGCCTATTTTCTAGAAATGACCTCACAAGTTTAGAATCTACTCCATACCATTTTAGTTTGTGTAGTAGAACCTCTTTGCAGGCCTTATCGTAGGCCTTCGCAACATCCAGCGCCACCATAATACATACTTGATCATTCTCCCATGCTTTGTATACAAAATCAGTGACCGCTATTAGGGCATGCGTGGTGGAATGGAACTTGCGAAAGCCGAACTGGAATTCTGACAACAAATTATTAGATTCAAGATAAGTAGAAAGTTGGTTGAATATACATTTACCAAATAATTTAGTTAGTACAGGTTGGATTGTTATCGGTCTAAGCTCATTTGGCGATACTGGATTTTTTACCTTTGGTATTGGAATCACCTTAGCTAGTTTAAGCATATTCGGGACGCTTTCCTCATTAATATACATGTTAAATAAGTTCATGATAATAATTCTAAATTTAGGAGATGTCATACACATATTCATCATTTTGTTGCACAATCCGGTCGTGTCGCGGGATGTCGATCCTTTGTTTTTTGTGCCTTTCCACGCCTTCAGAATGTCTTGTGTGGATAATTCCCAGAATTTAAAAGAAAGGTCGAGGTCGTCCCAGAGTAGTGCGGGTTTTGTAGGTAGTGGTGGCAGTGTTTGGGCGTGGTCCCTTTTCGAGATGTTCACGAAAAAAGAATTTACGGTGTCAGGTTCCAAGTTAATTTCAGCTGCAGGGCTTAGTAGAGGGTATATTTTTTCTAGGGCTCCCCAGAAGTGAAGCTTCTCCACTTTCTTATTAAATTCATGTTTGGTGTCCTCCAGAATATTTCTTTTAACGAGTGACTTGTAGTTCTTAAATGATTGGATATCAGCTGGTGATGGGTCACGACGACATGCCTTGTACGCCTTGTCTCGCTGCTTAATAATCTGTCGTGTTTTGCACGATACAAACTTTTTATGTTGATGCACATAATAAGTAACTGTTCTAATTGGAGCTAGTATATCATAGATAGCTAGTATATCGTTTATCACACCGTGAGTAACTGTTTCGCCGTCTCCCTGACTAGCTTCAATATTATTGATATATGTCGCAAGATCCGTAAGGTTGATATTGTTGTAGTTTCTAATATGTTTTTGCTTCTTAATCGGCACTGGTTTTTTAGTGGAGATTATGCATTCTGTATATGCATGATCAGACAGGTGTGGGTTGAATACTGATTTGTTTATAATGGATTGGTTGTTGTTTGTGATGATGAGGTCCAATATATTACCTCCTCTCGTCGGTTCGTCAATTATCTGATGTAGAGACAGTTTACTAATTATTTTGTATAGGGGGGAAGCCGATTTTGTATTACGTAGGTTAAAGTCACCGAGGATATACATATTTTTATGGTATTTACAGCGTTCAGATAAGAAGTCGTCAAAAAATTCATAGTCATCATCTGTTAAGGTTTCCTTCTTGTAGTTTGGATGGCGATACACACACGATATGATGATTTCCTTATTAAAACGTAATTGCACGATTAGGGTCAAATATTCAACATTGTTGGACGGGATATCAGGAAAGTTATTAGGTTTTTTTACTTTAATATTGTCTCTTACTAGCATGGCAATACCACGGTCATGTGAATCGGGTCTGGCGTCTTTTCTAAATATCACGTAACCTGGAATTTGTCGTAAATTATGCTGTGATTTAAGTCTTGACCCACTTATACACAATATATTGATGTCGTTAAGGGATAGGAATGTTTTGAGCTCATTAAACTTACTATGTATTGAATTTAAGTTTATGTTTAAATTTATGTGGGCGATTGTTAAGTTTTTTGAATTTTCTTCGTTCGGCGAGGAACTAAAAAATGATTATTATATCTCAACGAAGGCTTGCTAAATGAAATATTATTATTTCTTACACTTGTTGCGGTTGTGCGATCGATTTGATTTACAGGGCCATGTCGTTCATTGTTGTGAGACCTAATTTGCATATTACTTTTATTATGTATTGCTGGTGATGATAAGCTGTTTAATCGACTATGTGACCCACCCTCAGATTCTGTCCTCATATTCGCAACGAGCCTGCCATTACACACCTGGTGAGATTCACGGTCCGATGTTATCGACTTATTTTTCCAGTTTATAGTACAATTCTCGTTATTGTCTTTGAATTCTTTGGTTTTTTTCCTTAATATGGCAAAGTCCCGTCGTAGTGTATAAGGAAGATCCTCATTTATAAAGATAGGTGGCTTGGTTTCCTTCCTTGAATTCCATACACTTTCTCTGTCCGATAAGCAACTAAATCGCACTATAACTTGTCTGCACCCTTGTGCCTTATGGGAACCTAATCTCAACACAGAGTCCACTTTTATGTCTTGTTTGACAATATTGCTGAGCAATTTATTAACAATAATACGCAATTCTTCCAGCGATTCGTTAAGAGGGTCGGATAATCCAGAAATTATAAGATTAATCCGTTTTACATCACGTTCTATTTGTTCGTTATGGCATTCTAGATAATCCATACGTGTTGACAAACCAATATTCCCCTTTGTTAGTTTCGCGACATCGTTTTTTAATGTATTCAGTTCAGTTTGGTGGGCGAGGAGACAGACCTTTATATCTGACACAGAGCACTTTAAATTTTCTGTTAAAGTATCAATTTTTGAACTGATACGAAGTTCGTGATTTGTTAGGAATTGCATAATAGTATCACAATTTTGCGGGTCAGGTGATGGGTCGTCATTAGTACTGTCATTTAGTGACACCATACTTCTAGTTCTGGGTCGCTTATTGGTCTCACTATTTGCACTATTAATATGACTGAAATTAAACTCAGCAATTCTTGTTTTCACTGTATTTCCGTTTTTTGTAGGAGATTTCAAATCTTTACTAGGTGCCATGTTTATAAGATTGGTAACGATGAATTACTTTTTAATACAAAATAGAAACTCCAGCCAGTTAACTCCAGAAGTTTGTAACAGTAGTGTAGGTTATTTCAGTAGGTTGGTTTAACTGTGAGGTTACGAGGCACCCGCTGTTGTTTATTTTTTTTAGTACAGTAATTTAACAAACTTTACTATACGATGTAAATTATTCGCATCCGTTCGCTTCATTATCTATTTGTATCTCTTTTACTAGTAGTTATGGTCACGTGGTGGTAATTTGGGAGATCAATGGGGTAATAATGGGAGACCTCCATTGTTAGTACATATGTACATGAGCGCAATCTATTTCAGTTATAAATTTAACTTCTTTAAATTATAATCAAAATAGCCGAACTAAGGGAACATCCATATATTACGTCAGCATTTTAGTGTGTGGGTGGTTTATGTTGTCCTATCTTTCCCATATTAAAATTCCCTATCCCTTAATGTTTACGTTGGGTTGGTGGGTGCTAACATCGAGAATTTTTGATGACATAATATAAGAGAAAAGTAAATGCTGAAATAAAATAGCATCAAATATCTTAAAAAATATATGTCTGCAGGTATTTGAGGCCAATACAGGTAAATTGATAACCTTTCATCAAGTCGAAATTCCACGCTGTGCTCCAAACCAAGTAAGTTTCTTGACATGCAATTAAAATTAATATATTTATTTAATTGTATAAAAATTTCAAAACTAAATTTTAAAAATTTTTAAAAAAATTTTAAACAATTAATTCAAAAATTAAGTAGTGCAAGAAACTAAATCCAAATCTACACAAAATAATTATTTCTTTACAATTTTTATTTATTTCAAACTATAACTTGGAAATAGAACAAGGAGATACACATGTTGGTTTATTTTTGCATAATTGTCTTTTTATAGGGATGGGTAGAGCAAGATGCAAATATTCTTCTCTCTTCTATCTTAACCTGTATTGACGAGTGTGTCCAAAATTTGGAAGACATGGACCTATCCCCCTCGCAAATAAAAGCTGTAGGGATAACAAATCAAAGAGAAACTGTTATCGCATGGGACAAGTTTTCAGGGAAGCCGTTGTACAATGCGATTGGTAAATATTTTAGTTAATAATTAAGTACGTCAAGCTTCATAAAGGAAAGAATTGATAAAAAACTCAACCTGTTCCATATCTGAATTAAAATTTTGTTTTAAAAAAGTAGTTGTAGTTAAGATTTCACTACTTTTTCCAGAGTAACTGAACAAAAGTAATTGCCGAGGTGGATTTCTAAATTATTTTGAAATAGTAAATTACATTATTCCACTAAAATGCAGCAAATCTCTTAAAACAGAACATAATACTTTGTTCCCCGATACATAAAGTTTGGGCAAAAAATTATGTTCTTATTCGTCCCCATATTTCTTCACCACGCTCTATTTAAAAATAAACATTGTATGTATGTATACCTACTACCAGGAAAAATATAAATACAACTAAAGTCCTTCTCATTTATTTCAGTCTGGATGGATACCCGAACCGTATCCACCGTGCAGGAAATTCTATCCACGAAGAAACAAGAAACTGAAGAAATCCGTCGTATCTCTGGCCTTCCAATGAGCACTTATTTCAGTGCCACAAAAATAAAGTGGCTCATTGACAATGTCCCCGAAGTAAAAGTAGCCGTGGATCAATGTCGGTGCCTTTTTGGCACAGTCGATGCCTGGCTCACTTGGGTAACTAATTAATTAATATTTCTGATTAATTAATTAGCCACATAAATTTTATTATTTCGTTAAGAATCTGACAGGAGGAGCTAACGGCGGATTGCACGTAACCGACGTTACTAACGCTTCCAGAACCATGCTCATGAATTTGGAGACGCTACAGTGGGATCCCTACTTGTGCAAGTAAGAATTACAAGCATATTAATTAAAAGTTAGTAATTAAAAGAGCTTTTTAATTAGCCACATTATGAATTAATTAGTAATTGATAATTAGACGGAAAATATTTCGCCTAATTAGTAATTAATTTTGACATAGAAACCGTAGAAAATAGTGGTAAGGCAAGTGGTTTTACGAGCAACAATCAGAATTGGTAATTAGTAATTAACTAAGGTTGCTAATTAAGCCAAGTAATTAGAACATTGACCAATTAATTCGTGATTTTCTAAATAATTATTAATTAAAGTTAGCTTCTGTGGTACCAATAAACGTTAACTAGTAATTAAAAATTATTTTAAACATGCTACTAAATTCGACAATTAATAAGATTCACTAATTAATTAGAAAGCTCTGATAATTAAACAGTTTAATTTAAACTGTCATATAAATATACAAGCCAGCCCTCATTTTTCCAACTCTTACAATTCAGGTTTTTTGGGATTGATGTCAAACTCCTGCCTGAAATACGGTCTTCATCCGAAATTTATGGGCATTTCGTATCCACTAAACTAGGCGGTGTTCCAATTTCAGGAGTGCGTACATATTAATCCTAATCATACATGCAGCTGTATATATCACCACGTTGCGTTCGGAACTAACCAATTCAAAATTCCCGAACAGATTTTGGGCGATCAACAAGCCGCTCTTGTCGGCCAGCTATGTTTTAAACCAGGCCAAGCTAAATGTACGTATGGAACAGCGGGCGTTCTCCTGTTCAATACTGGATCAACGGTAGGCAATACCCATAATTTATTTATAACATCCATCTCGTTATTAGCTCACCCTGCGTAGCATGAGAGCTATTGAATTGCTCTTGTCCGTCCGTTCGTCCGTCCGTCCGTCCATCCGTCCGTCCGTCTGTCTGTCTGTGTGTTCACGAGTTTTTTGCATCAATTTATGCTAATTAATAAGTCCCAAGACCATTTAAACCCAAATTTGTAGCACAATTGGTATCAAAAAATCGTTAACGCAAAGTGGTGCGCAATAATTGGAGGAATCGATGTATTCTGCGCCAATGATTAGGATTAACTGAAAGTTCTAGTTAGCGTTGGCCGACTTCACTTAACCTCGAAATCGTGTCAAAATTTAGTCCCAATTTTAACCATTTCGGCTGCACCATTGGTGCAATATTATATCAAACTTCTTTTATTTTCCGTTTATTCTGTACCATTGGTGCAAAATTATATAAAAATTATGAATCTATTGTATCCGCTTATTTTGCACCTTTTATGCAAAATTATATCCAACTAATTATTCCAGGGTGAGCTACTTCTAACGTTACTACGGTCTATTCAATTCATTCCACTCAAATTTATATTCATGCATTAAGTACTAATTGAATAAATGAGTGGAAAATATTTATTCATTCAATATTCATTGAATATGTACATAGTCTTACCATAAGAAGTGATAGTTTTTGAACGGGTCAACATAAAATTAAAAGGTCAGTTGCGGTTTGTACATACATTCAGTGCCTATCATTGGTGTTGACCGTTTTTACTTGACGTCACTAGGTCAAAAGTAGGAGGAGCTTACCTACACGCGCGCGGCAATAATTTTTCACTTTTTGCACGAGAAAAAAATGCACAATGTTTGATGTAGTGTAGCAGTCCAAGTGCAACTACGATCTGGTTGCCCAAACTATTAAACTAACCCTAGAGACAGTGGCTAACTATGACATAAAAGTTCCGGTTGTCCAAGGTCAAGGAGAACTACAGTGAGGTCCGACGCTTTAAACACCAGAATTGCACAAATCTCTGTCCGACGCCGGAGACTTTGGCCATACAAATGACCTTACAACTTTATAAATCAGATGAGCACTGAAAAATGACCCTAAGATGGAGGACATTTAGAGTAGAAAGCGTCACATGCCACAGATTTCCCAGACATAAGCTAAAGGTCAAAAAATCGAACACACTCCCTCAGCAGTACGGTAAAAAGCAATCAAAAAATAACCCGTCTACAGAAGAGAATTTCTTTAAGACGGAGCCACATTTCCACAAAAAAAGAAGCAGAATTTATGTTAAATATTCTTAGGGTTAGTTGATTGCGAGATGGAGATCGAAGGTTATTTTATCCGCCTAAATGCATGGTTTTGGCGGGAATCGGCGGAATTGGGCAAAAACCGCCCAATTTTCTGGATTATGGAGACAAGATAGTTTTAAAAAATATTTGATGAACGTCATAGTGAAGAAAGAACACCCCCTCAACTAGTCCATATTGGGTGAAAAGCCACCGACCTTTGTGAAGGGCTCTACAGTAACATATACAGCGAAATTCGTGAAAAACTGGATCAAAATCCATAATTCTGACTTCGTTTGCACTTAAGGTTTGACCTTGGCATTTTCGAACCGCAGTCAACTTCACCACCAAATATTGATTAACGTTGAGGAAAGGGTCTGTTCTGAACCCCATATAAGTGTCAAGGTCACAAAAAAATTTCTGACCCGGGAATGATACACTTTGTCGATTGATTTCATACGTATTTTTGATGGAGCTTTCTCCTCTCGCGAATAATTTCTGAGTGCCACAAGAGGAATATGTTTTCAAGTTTAATACATGTTTTCTACTTGAAATTTAACTGGTTTTTCAATGGAATAAAAATAAATTTGAAATTCCTTAAAACATAAGCGATATAGTCGTCTACTCTACTATCACTTTTTAAGTTGAGACTATGTATGAAAATGAATGAGACATGTTTATTAATTTAAAATTCAAAATTAATTCAAAATTATGGTTTTGAATAATTCACACCCATTCATTATTCAAACTCATTTTAATGAATATTTAAATGTGAACAGGTATGGGTGTATGTAGCCAAATTTTACAGAGGGCGCGTATAAAAATGTAAACCAAATGATTTGCAGTAGGATTTAGTTAATATTATCCAACGAAAATTTAATTCATTCCAACCAAAATTTGCCAATAATGAAATATGCAACCAATTAATTTATTTTATAACAATTTTCATTATATTTTCAGTGTATATATGTAGCAATCTAAATCTAAATTTAACACTCGTATCGAATTCTTTCCCTAGATCGTGCACTCCACCCAAGGTCTGCTCACCACTGTTGGGTACAAGTTAGGTCCCGACCATCCCGTCGTGTACGCTTTGGAAGGATCCATCGCCATTGCTGGGGCGTGCATTCGATGGCTCAGAGACAATCTAGATTTCGGTGGAAGTTACGAAGAAATCGTAAAATTATCCGAAAGTGTTGAGGAGACTGGAGGAGTATTTTTTGTTCCCGCGTTTTCCGGATTGTTTGCCCCTTATTGGAGATCTGACGCGAGAGGGTGAGCCACATTCTTTCCAATTGTTCAAGGCTTCTTTAAATGAGATATTTTACTACAACCTACCTACATAATGCTGCACAGAGGGGACAAGAAATATGTAAAGCATTAACAAATTTTCTCTAAAATTCATTTAGCTCCTTAGTTCGGTAGGGAGAACAGTTCTGGAGAAATTATTCGAAAGATCGTAAATAATTTATATTTGGATAGATTTTTCATAATTTATTCGTATTTATTTTAAGAAATTTTAACAAAATAGTTAATCGTCCCCGTATATATTTTTACCGCTATATATATACAAGATTATCTTGCTGGCATTACCTACAGTTAATAAAAGTATTATTTGGACAGTGATGAGCAGGTTTTTCAAATGTTCATATTTTTACGGTTTCTTAGAAAGTTAGCCTTATTATTCTTTTGACTTGACACATAAGTATGTGGTTATCTAAATCCATAAGCCTTTCATCAATATTTATTTTGAGACGGAAAATATTAAGCATTTTCCAAGTAAAAGTGAAAAACTCACATCAAAGTATTATTAGGACACCGAGATTCTTTTCCAAATTCGCCACAGTACACTATCTATCACATTACAATTTTGATGAATAATGCAAGGACATGTGTAATTCTTTACTCCAGAAGCTCTTCACGCCTTTATTCTCGTTTAGAAATCACCGGCAATCATCATTCCTAAAATACTGCGAGCTGTTAGTAAATGGTGGGAAATTATTATCTCAGACCACCAGAACTATCTTCCAGAACCCATAATTGATGATAAAATTATTCACAACTATAGTACACAGTAATATTTTGTCTCAAATTGCAAAGAAACCAGCAGAATTATCAGAAAACCTGGAGATGTTTAGCCAAGTAATCAAATATCGTCATAATTTCTGCATGTTTCGAAACGCTACCAATAATTTCTGCACCAAAAGTGCACCAAAAACTTCAATTTGTGTGTGGAATAATTGTTTCCGATCAAAAAATCTTCAATCGAATCAAAAATCAAGGCTTTAAAGGCCGAACAGCAGTAAAGAGCAAATTGATTTTAAGCACGAAAGTGAAGCGTCTACTTCGTGGGAGTAGTTAACATCGTAATCGGGCCCTGAGCAGGTGGAAGCAGGTCAACTAGTTAGATTGACGTATTCTTAACCTGTCTTAGCCCGATGGGCCCACAAAGTATGCAGAAAACTTAATGAGGAGTTGAATGTGCCAGGCTTGCGACTATATTTGCATCACCCTGGAGTTTCAGTTATGATGTGGGGTTCGAAATCAAGGTCGGGGACATGTTAGTTCGAAATAATCGACGGACTCGTGTTGAAAGAAGTCTACATGAGGATTCTAGGTTGAAAACTTGTCAAATATGTCATAACTTGTACAGCAATGAAGCTTTCATTTATGCTTTTCGTTCGCCAACATTTACCTCCTCCGGATTTGTTGACTACCTTGCCGTCACTTTTCCATTTTAAGACAGCAAATGGACATTAAATGGTCCATACTATATTTCGGAATAATGTTCTGAGCAATAATTGGCTTTGGAAGACGGTTTTGGTGGTCGGAGATAATAAATTCGCCCAATTAATTATAGCTCGGAGTATTTTGGGAATGGTGATTGCAGGTGATCTCTAAACTAGAATAAAGGCGTGAAAAGCTTCTGGAGTAAAGATTTACACATGACCTTGCATTATTCATCAAAATTGTAATGTGATAGATAGTGTACTGTGGCGAATTTGGAAAAGAATCTCGGTGTCCTAATAATACTTTGATGTGAGTTTTTCACGTTTACTTGGAAAATGCTTAATATTTTCCGTCTCAAAATAAATATTGATGAAAGGCTTATGGATTTAGATAACCACATACTTATGTGTCAAGTCAAAAGAATAATAAGGCTAACTTTCTAAGAACCCGTAAAAATATGAGCATTTGAAAAACCTGCTCATCACTGTTTAAATAATACTTTTATTAACTGTAAATTAATTTAGGATTAGCCTAATCCACACCGCAAAATCATTATACAATTCAAATTATAATGGGGGCGTTCATTATTTTTTCGTATCGTAAAATAACTTGCGACGGTTACGAGATTTTGTAAGCGTCGTGAGATTTTATCCTGGAAAATCACGTTACTACGCTTACGATTTTACGAAACCTGACCCCTTGTTTTTTATTCGTAAACTATTATACTACGATACGAAGAAATAACGAATACCCTCAATATTTCTACCCACTAATTTCCAGCCTTATCTGCGGTCTTACTGAATTCTCTACGAAATCCCACATCACTCGAGCAGCCTATGAAGGGGTCGCGTTTCAAGTGAAGGAAATCTTATCAGCCATCAATTCTGAAGTTGGTGTCGTTCCAATCTCCTCGCTCCGAGTGGACGGCGGAATGACAGTCGTCGCCCACTTGATGCAACTCCAAGCCGATTTCTTGGGGATTGAAGTACTCCGATCGGAAATGGGGGAAATGTCTGCCTTGGGGGCGGCAATGGCTGCCGGAAACGCGGAAGGTGTCCAAGTTTGGGACATTTTTACAAAATCCGATTCCATACCTGGGGATGCTTTTCATCCCAAACTTACAAACCAAGGTAAATGTACACATATTTTTTTAGGAAATGGAATTAAAATGCTGTTTTATTTACGTAATCATTATGATCTCTTCCAGAACGGGAGGAACGATATGTCAAATGGAAAAATGCAGTTGTTAGAACTTTGTAAAGTCAGATATAAGGACAAGAACTTTCGTCAGCACCTTGTTACACTATGGATCATCTCCATTAAAAACGCGTGATTTTATTATATATGTATACTACTTATTTTATTGAATTTCCTATCAATGAGCCTGGTGCGTGTCAACGGTCCAAAGTTTTCAAAACGTTTTTAGTTTTGAAAACAGGTGACAAATTGCAAGAACTAAAGATTAATAAGAATTACAGCGCCAAATAATCTTGTAGAAAAAAATTAAGCGTAATAGATGTACCATAATTCAAAATACTTATGTAGATATTTAATAGGGGGCCGTCCATAAATTACGTAACGCAAGAGGGGGGGAGGAGGGGTCATGGGAAGAGCGTTACGAATTGTTATGTAGGGGGAGGGGGGTATAACAAATTTGTTACGTAACGCATTTCATAAACGCGATTAAAAATCGAATTGAACTCATGTCATCCAGAAGGTTTCAGTGTACGCATGTAAGTACGTTTTTCATTATGGTGCTCACATTAAAAGAAGAGCAAAATTCTTGCCTACTTGTGAACCATCATTCCTCCACAGTGACCTCGGAGGGCGATGGTGTGACGTAAGTTTCACGATTAATTGAGCCTTACCTTTAAGATGAGAATTTGATCGAATTTGCCGATCACCTGAGCCCCAACGAGGTCACTTAGGAGGCATGATGGTTGTCAAGAATTGTACTCATCTATTAATGGTCGTACGATAGTTTTCCGGATGCAACTTGACAAAAGGTTCCATTGTGAGTCTTGGTAAACGTTGAGAGACCTGTAAGATTTACAATTTCCATTTCTTATATGATGATGTCGAATATGATTTCGTTGTTCTTGAACAAGAAATTCACAAAATTCTAATTTATCTAGCAATTTAAAAGAAATTGAAGCAATAAAAGCGACATTTGTCTACACAACCTGGAACAAATGAAAATTTTGCAAGTTACTGTTAAAGAAATTACCTGCGGTGAAATCAAATTTACGTTACGTTACGAAGGGGGAGGGGGGTAGTCGAGAAGCGTTACGATGCCGTTACGAGGGGGGAGGGGGGGTCTAAAAAATGATGATTTTTGCGTTACGTAATTTATGGATGGCCCCTAGGGAAATAATCGCGATGGTGTGATATCCTTAATTATGGTATGTGCCCGTAAGTAAGCTACAGTTACCTTTGACCTTGTGTTATACATAATCCTATAAAAATAAAAGTTATGTATACATATACTAAATATGTATTCGGCTATATCCTGTTTAGATAAATATTTCTCGCTAAGCATGTATTAACAACTATTTAGACAAATTTTGCAATTTTTATTTAAAAAATTACACCTTGTCTGGTTGATTTATGAGTTAAATCCCAAACCCGAGAAAATTATAATTCAATTCGCACTAAAACTACACTAAAAGACCCTTAAGAACAGTATTATAAACTTGATCTGACTAACAATGGAACCTTTTTTCAAGCTACACGAGATAAGCTTAGTGACCTATGCTAAAAAATCAAGCTAAAAATTAGAAATGACGTGGTACTTATCTTTCCGTTGAATGGGCACTTGGAGGTCAAATATTTGAAGGCAAAGTTCACAGTAGCGGCCTGCTTTTTTCTCAAGCGGGCGAGCGGAGGAGGAGTGAAAATTTTCTCTTCGAGGTCACTCCGCTGCCTTCACTCTCGCGCTAGTTTCGTTCATCAATAGTATGCAATCAATATGCAATTCCAAAAATATACAACGAAATGTGGCAATAAAAATAAGTCAACTTTACGGATTATGATTTCTAATTAATTAATACACTAATTAATCAGACGCACTTATGTATAACTTATAGAACCCATTGTCACTTTTTCATTACGGATCGGTGGATAGTTGATAGTAGGACTTTAAAAAGCAATTATAAAATTATATGAATGTATGCACCAATTTACGAGATTGTGAAATTTTGTCAAAAAGAATATGCATTGAATGAAGTGCGAGCGTGCGAGAGTGAAGGCAGCGGAGTGACCTCGAAGGAGAAAATTTTCACTCCTCCGCTCGCACGCTTGAGAAAAAAGCAGGCCGCTACTGTGAACTTTGCCTTCAAATATTTGACCTCCAAGTGCCCATTCAACGGAAAGATAAGTACCACGTCATTTCTAATTTTTAGCTTGATTTTTTAGCATAGGTCACTAAGCTTATCTCGTGTAGCTTGAAAAAGGGTTCCATTGTAAGCTGAAATTTGCTTATATTCTATTGATGAATCTTTCGAAATTAAAATTGTGCCTCTACCCTTAAAGTTGGCACCCTTTTTATACCAATTTGTATATTTTCATAGAAGTAATTCTGAACAACAATTGGGCTTAATTTTTGAAATCGGGTTAAAATTCGAAATATTACATTTTTAGAAACCTTGATGTTGGCTGAAATTTGTTAAACATGCTAATTCAGGAAAACTCAAAAATACAGGACCGCTTATTTTTGAACATGAAAAATTTAAAAATAGTCCGGTCCATATCGGCGATAACCTAATCCGCCATTAACAACGTGATTGTATTATCTGTCACGGCGTTCGCCACCTGTACCGTCCACCTGCTCGAAATCATTCCAAATGGTCCACACCTAATCCCAACCGGTCTCAACGATTTGGTCACCTTTCTCTCATACCTCCTGGTACACTGCCTTCTCAGCAGCCCTACAAAATCCACCGACTTTTCATAAACTTCTGCCGCTTGTGGAAGCAGGGTAAACTGGAAAGTTAACGTGAACCCCGCTGTGACCGGAAGTAGCGGATACAGAACGATGGGGAGGGTCGAATACATCCGGATTGTGCCATGCAGTGAACAAATGATCATGCAGACGCCACAAAATAAGAGAGGTGGCACAGTCCTGTAGCAGTATTCCACGTTAATGTACCTGTTCAAAAATACTTTTTTCATTCAGAGTTCGATCATCCCGATTTCTGAGTGAAGATTTTCATCCACACACAATCATTCTTTTTCAGACTCATTTCATTTCACTTCACTTCATCGCACTTTATTTCTTACTTTGCCCCAGGTATTAAGCATAGGGTGAAAAATGAAGTGAGTGAAAAATCCTTTCATTCACACTCACTCATTTTCACTCAAATGACAAGAAATTCATTTTTATTCACTATCATAATCAGTCAATCATTTTCTCTCAGACACATTTCACTTCATCGGACTTCATTTCTCTGCCCCAGGTATTAAGCATATATAGGGTGAAATATGAAGTAAGTGATAAATCCTTTCATTCATTCCCACTCATTCGTCTGAAATGACGGAATCTTTCACTCATTTTCACTCAAATGACTGGAAATTCATTTAAATTCACTATTGTTTTCTATCATAATCATTCAAAATGAGTGAAAGTGAACAGGTATGATTCCTCGTTAATGTATGTACCCAGTCCAGACTTGAAATTGCCGATAGATTCCAATTTCCACGGAGTTGGAATTGGACCTGGTTTTTAATTCAACTACGTTCCGTAATAGTTGCGTTCCTTTCGACAAGCATTGCACGACCGGAAGTCCGACCAATAGAACGGCAAGGGCGGATTTTACCAGTTCCGTAGCCAAAAATTGTACCATAAGGATTCTGATGAGCTTCGAGATTAAGTTGTACACCCAGTTGGTACTTGTATGCCCCCAGATATTTAGAGGATCCAGATTAAGGTAGACTAAACCCGGTCCGGTCAAATATATGGGAAAAACTGAACCCCAAGTGATTACTTTTAACAAGTGTAGCACCCAAATTGGTGACCGTTTCTTAGGAACTGCAGCCCAAAGTTCTGCGAAATGGAATATTTATTGAGCTCACAATTGAGGTTTCCCAACGTATGCATGTTCACAGATTTGGACCAAACTAGCTTCAATCCATCACAAATATAATTTGTGACATTGGCATCCAAAAAGCCGAAAACCAACGCATAAGGCTGGAAATTTTTTCATTTTCCAAATTTGCTGCGCACTTTTCCCTCTTTGGATGCAAATATCTCTGCCAAACTTGCGCATTGGCCGATAGTTCTATTTGCAAATTCCATCATAATTAAATTTGTGATCGATTGACGCCAGTTTGGTCCAAATCTATGAGCACACGTTGGATTACCACCATTGTAAATTAAATTATTTGGTGTGGATCTTCGATCTTACAAGGGACACTCACGACCTGTCGCTTGAGTCCAGGGTCCCCACTATGTTTTTTAGAATCTACTAGGACCCCAGATGAAGGATTCATTCATATTTCCGTGTAAAACTCATATTTGGCCCAATGGCGTGGCGCTAAACTTAAAAATTTGCCTTTTCGACCAATTTCAAACCCCCATAACTTTTGCAGTTTATGTCGGATTTTTAAAATTTTTTACTTAAGATGATCAGAAAAGTCGAAATTTTAGAGAAAAAAAATAAAAATTAAAAAATTTTAATTTTTGAGATATTTTTAGCATTTTTACGACGAACCCGAAATTTCAAAATTTTGCGAAAAGTTAAAAGCGATAATTTTGGAAAAAATTTGATAGAATACGAAAGTTGAACTCCTTGTCATGATTTTTGCCAAAAATTTTGAAAATCCGTCCAGGATTTCAAAAGTTATGGCGGTTTTAAAATGAAAAACTTGGCGCCACGCCATGGCGCCAAATATGAGTTTTACACGGAAATATGAATGAATCCTTCATCTGGGGTCCTAGTAGATTCTAAAAAACATAGTGGGTACCCTGGACTCAAGCGACAGGTCGTGAGTGTCCCTTGTTAGTATAAAAAATTACCTTCAATTTGTTCTTAGTGTCCCTTGTTAGTATACAAAATTACCTTCAATTTGTTCTTCAAATTCGGCCATCCGATTCACAATATTGGGCGCCACTTGGGGATAAAACGCTATCGTAATACTCATTCCTATAAAGCAGAGAGGAAATATTGTGACGTATATGTTCACAAATATTTGAAGTTGTTCCATCGTATCCGTTTCCGACGAGGAGTTTGATATGGCGGGAAGTTTAAAAACCAAGGACAGTCCGCATGCCGCCGTCTGAAAAAACATCCAGATCACGGACGACATGCAAATGGCCCGTCTTGCTTGGGTTAGCGGTATCACACTCATTTCCTTCTTGTTCAAGGTTTTTTGAAAAGGTAACAAAATTCGTGTCCCACTTCCCACACTAGATTTGGCACAAGGCAACCTTCCGGATTCGTGTTTGTCATGACGGAATAAGTGCGGAATAAATAGGTGGAAATTTTACAAAGTTCTGTTGTAGAAAAACTAGGAATACTTTTTTTTATTCGCTTTTCATGTTTTTGTCTTCAACTATCCATTAAAATCCAATATCGTCGTACTAATTCTAAAAAGACCTAAGTGGAGTCGATAATTTTAAAAAGACCTAAATGAAAAAAAATCTAAAAAGACCTAAGTGAAATTCTAAAATTACAAAGCGTGAATTACTTATTTAAAATGGCATTATAAGCTGAAATGCCAATATGGGTCTAGGAATGACATAAAATTTGTAATTTAAGAACCACACCTTCCGGGGGTGTGGTTCTCGGTGCCTGAATTCAAAATCTCTCGATGTTCAAACTCTGCAAAGTTATGTTCTAGAAAAGCTTGGAATAGTTTTTTTTTATTCGTTGTTGATCTCTTGTGTTCAACTATCCATTAAAATCAATATGTGGTTGACGTAAAGGCTGTATTAAATTATTGGATTAGGATTGCACAATATGCGACATCCTGGACATGGGAATTTATAAGAATATATAATAATCGGAATCAAGGTTGTGAAATACTTTTTATGCACACAGTAGGATATATGTAGAGATATGGATTTTTTATTATTTCTTAACCTCTTTCATGTTAATTTATCTCGATTCAAATTTCCATTGAGTACGATATTGATTCATATGTAACTACAACCAATATTTCTTTACACCAGTTGAATCTGGTATGCTCAACTAGCAAGCTGGCTTGGACGATAGGCTCTAAATAAAGAAATGCACCTTGCACCTTTATAACGTTGTTTTTTAGATTAAATACCTCCTTTGTATGTCCACCATTTGTATTCCGCTACCAATTAAACTATGTAAAAAATGGCCTCTAACATTTTGATTTTGCAATTTCTCCTAGACGAAGGTTTATGTATACACTCTTAAAAAAATTGATACCAGATCGTTACCAGGCGGAATGCATATATGACTCTACCGCGTTGGTAATGATTTCAGCACATTGTGGTAAAGATTCACAAAAATTCCACAAAGTGATGATTCAGCTCCATGCGGTTAAAATTTAACTGCAACCAGGCAATCACGTTCAACATCGCACAGTAATCAGTTTTTACCCAATAGTTATGTTACATTCCTGAGTTATGTTGAAGGTGAGTACCACTTGGTGTTATTCATTACTAAATGGTACATATAATATTACCCAATTTTGTCAACTTTGTCTTCATCTGGAATCGATTCGTTACTCTCGAGGTAATAATTTATAACCCCCTGCACTTAACATTTGACACTATTTAGTGAGGATTTATTTATTTATTTACTGATGACAAAATTAATTATTTTACAACGATTAAAGTGTACTAACTTAAATTTACCAATGACATGTTCGAATTAATAATACATTATGCAATATAATTAAAAACTCGAAATTTTGTAATATACATTCAACTCGTGTAAATTATAAATGATGTCTAAGAACTAAATATAACGATTCATTGCTACAATTTCTTTGAATTTCAAAACAGTCATGAACCACTAAATCTGTAATTGAAATAACTTTGAATATATCAATTTTATGTTTTACTTTAAACGCAAAATAATGGCGATCAAAATACTCCACATCTAGTTCCTTAAGAAGCAAATAACAAGTTTTATCGTTAGGCAAAAGAAACTCATTAATAATTCCAAATTTTGGAAATACGTTACCCATTTCATAACAAACTACAAACCCCGTCTTATAATTATACCCTCGATACCAAATCTGGTTGGTTGTATAGATTTGTGTTTCTCCGTCACAATTTTGATAACAGTCAAATAATCTTAAACTCTCAATTAAATCGAATGAATCGACAAAATTACTAAGATTGACAATAAATATATGATCAGTTTTAAGACTATCGCTTGATTCGGAGGACTGCATCATAAATGCGCTGTATTGTTGATGCCTAAATGCTAGAGAGTAACAAATATTTCTGAAGTTTTTAATATGTGCAGCTAATTGTGCAAAATAATTGTGCTTTGCTTCATATCTCATTGTCTCAAAGAGATATTAATGGCCCAGTTTGTCTAATTACATGAGAGTAGTGGCACATGAAATGATGTTTCGGAATTAGTCGTTCATGTGGAAACAAAAAACGAAACAATTTGTGGTGTGTCATTACTTTCTGGTCGAGAATTTGTAAACTAGAAGATGAAAATTTCCTACAAAACGTTAGACTCATTATTTCTAAAAGTTGAATAATAAGCTCCCAATATTTACTTCCTTCCTCACTAACGATTAGATCAGCCAGAATTACTGGTAAATGCCTTATTAAGCACCACGCCTGTGCCGCCTTTTGACCAATTTTGTGTCCGGTGCTATCTAAGCGAATTGGATTTGGTCGATTTTTGGATTCTAAATATCCATAGTTATGGGCCATAAGTCGCTGATTTACAATTTCTAAGCTAAAGCAGCCTAAAGATATGAGTTTTTGCAACACAATCTTGATCTCAAATGGCACAACCCCTTCTAATAAATCGTGCATAATATCCACTGATGGGGAATTTAAAAAATCGAAATATTGCAGCTCATTCAATGCACATTCGGATTGAACCCCAAATTTGTTTTGTCTCAAATGTTGTTCGTAATCAGGTCTACTCCGAATGTGCATCAAATTGTGATCAAACACCTCTTGTGCCTCCGTCTTCGACGTGCAACATATTCTACAATAATAATGCGAGTTAAAAGATTCTGAAAAACCTAATAAAGAGTTCATCCCCAAATTATCACAAGATAAACTAGAAATCGTTCCGTAAATTGTTTCAGACCCATTCACTTTTATCCCACTGCTTTCTAGTAACTTGATATCCGGAATTAAATATTTAAGAATAGCGTTCATTCCATATTTTTTAGCATCTTCAGTATAAAAAAGAGCCAACAAATGAATTTGACTTAATTTGGAATTTATATAGTCCGGGAAGTTTCTTATTGTGAAATAAATTCCCCCAATTTTATGTACACCACGCTTCGACCCCAATGGATTTACTGTTTCGAAGTCATCGTAGAATAATTGAATTTGAATCGAATTAGGAAATTTGGAGAAGAGAATATTATTTTTGAAGGACTTAGAATCGCTAAAATTTTTGTAAACATTTACCTCATGCGAATTGGAATTATAATTTATAAAAAACTTTGAATATTTTGGGGAATTTACAATGGATTCTAAAGTTTTGAGCAATGGGACATACATGAATGTATCGGGAACAATTACTTGTTGTCGTTTGTTATTTTTCACTCTCAATTCAGTTCTACTACCTAATGACAGTTCTCTGGGTAAGATTGGTCTGGCCGTTTTCTCAAACATTTTTTGTCTTTGATATGAAGATTTAATTGTGGCAAAAGCTTGCATTAAACCTTTAGTTTGACAACTGAAGAATTCAAAATCATCCTTACAAAACTTCTTCCCTAATTTTAGGACTAAACTAATTACTTGTGTAAAACTAAATTGTAATTCCTGAACTACAAAATCTACTGTTGTGTTTGTTACACCCTTTGCTAAAAGTGAGGAACAAAAGCTACTTAAAATATCCGACATAATTTGAATGCCTAGTTCAACTGAGATATCTTCTACTACTTCGTCTTCATCCAACTTATTATTATTATTCGTCGGAAGAGATTCCAATGCTTCGTGACTAACTACCGCATTAATTACTTCACTAACATTAATTGCGGTCGAGACATCGTGTGATTTTAAATGCCTAAGATAACCACTCCAAGAACTAAGTTGAACGGAACAATTTATGAAGGGGCAAAAGCTTTTCCTAAAATTTGCACTACCTATATTATGAATGTATTTTGTATGAACAATAATATCTTCTACCCGAGTAAACGTATTTCTGCACTCAGAACAATAATACATTTTTACCGAAATTTATATTATTAAAATTACTGGTCAATTGCTTTCCGAAAGGCTTGAAAGTTGTTGGAGGACTTGTTTTGCTTTGCGCGGAAGAGTTGTGTTTTGAATGTCTAATTGGAAGACGTGAATTTGCATAAACTTCCGTAATCCATCCAAATTTTGGTCGTATTTTGTCCCGATCACATAATGAGCCTTAAAAAGAGAGTCGATGGCCTCTGTAGAATTACTGGCATTCAGCGGAAGGGCCAACTTGTCACAAATGATGAAAAATGTCGACGGATTTGTTTTATCGTCGCCCAAGTACACCAAAGTGGGTTGACTGATATCCGAATCCCAAGTATCTAAAATTGACTGCAATGGCGTTCCACTCTAAAAGAGTAAGAATATTTACAGGTTATGTTCCTATAAAACAAAAACACTCAAAGCAAATATGTTGTAAATGTGTACTTTAAAATATTTTACAAGTCTAGATTCCGCATCTTCAATTTTGCACCGCGCACCTTTCCCTCGCCCATGCGCTGTCGGGGGGATTAAATAAAGCAGGGCCAACAATGCGCCAGTTGACCGATCCCAATTTCCTGCAAATAAATTGATTTTCCAGCAGATTATACGAAATAAGCAAAATTAACGAAATTATAACCATATTATATTCATACCAGCATTATCGTTTATGAATTTATGAAGAGACGTCGATTTGCTGATTCTTTTACAGTTTGTTAATATTTGCTCCCTCAATGTTTCCCACGTGTCCAGAAATTTGGCCGCATTAGCTGGAAACATCAGCTGGAACTCGAAGTTAATCTATCATAATTTGTGTCAATAAATTAAGCTAAAAAAAAATCTAAATACAGCTAATAACTTTGTAGTAATTACCAGAAATCCGCATTCCAAGAATTTTCGATACACCCGGAGGACTGAGTTTTCATTAGTGCCTCGCAAATAATTTCTGTGCTCCAAGGTTTGTATCATGAGACGCCTAACTTCGTCCTCCGGAAGTGAGGAATTTAATTCCGCGATGGCGATATCGTCAGCAGCAATTTGAACATGTCCGTCTTGCTTATTGGAAATGGGTGCTCCAGCTCCACTCGCTACGGGTCGCTTCAAAGATTTTAGAGGGTTTTTTTCTTTAACGTTTCGGTGAATCCATCGTAAACGAGTCTGAATTAAGCCGGAACGGTTCACAGTATCATACAAAATATCCTGCAATAAGGGAATAATAATATATACATATATTTAAATTCAAATTTCTAGGGAAGCTATAATTTTGCACATACAATTCCATCAATTGAATCCGGGTATTTCCAACACGGAATAATTTCGATTATTGCCTTGGCAAATCGCAGCTGATCAGAGGTGGATGGTAAATCCCTATATATTGTAAAGTTAATTTGATTAATTTTATAGACAGATATTATCTGCTAATAACAACAAGGAAAACTTACCCCCTTAAATCAATTAACACCGAGACAAAATCATTTATGAGTTTCGTTGCGGCCGCCGAGTCTACCAATCTCTCTGCGTTACAATTTGACACTAATTCCTTCAAGTCTGGTTTTCTCTCAATATAACTTTCTAAAGCCTGAGAATTTGCAACATCATTAAAATTTACTTGATTCCGCATTTTATTTAATTCCATTAGGATACATATAAATACATCTAGTAAGTATGTACCTGTTTAAAATAGTCTTCCCCTTGGGGCGACGCTGGAGTTGCTGGCGATTGAGGCGAAATGGGCGCAGGGCTATTAACTACACAAAAACGCTACATATTTCTTTTGCTTTTCATTGTCATTTATTATATTATCCAGATTATAAAACTCACTGTAATAAATTTGTTGACATTGAGGGGTGTACGATCCATCACTAGCTGCGTCTTCCCCCACGATTTTGAATGTTATTGCTGGGATTATGCCTTGATCCAACAGAATAGGGAATACTTCCTCATCAACTTCAGCGCCATGGTCGTCTTCCAAAATGATGTCGTTGTCAGTCTCGACTTGAAATTTGGTCTTCACTAATAATTACACACATTTTAGATATTTTTGAGTTATTTAATGCACAAATTTAAAACACGCTCTCAATTTAATGGGAATGATACTTACCACTACGCAAGAACTGTTCATAATCCCCAGAAGAAATAATTAATTTCTTTCCCCTGGCTAAATTACAAACTCTGACCAATTTGGTCATTTTTACTTCGCTGACTTTAACGGCCAAGGTAACTACAAAGTAGATGACGAGGAATGATGATGGCTATGGCGTGAATATTCCGTCCATGTGGTAACAGTTTTGGTTCTACCAGTAATATTACAATACCAAATTATGAAAATTGTTTACACCGTTTGGTGTATATTTGTTACTCTTTAGTAAAATTACATCGGCATTGACTGTCAGCACAATATGGCATTGATTCAATTCCTCGCGGAGTGGAGTCATCGCCACTCGGGGAAAACTAATATTACCATTTACCGATATTGTCCATTACCCAAAATTTATAAAAGCTGGTAATGATTTTATTACCGTGGTGGAATTAAAGGTTATTACCAAACCCTCGGTAATAATATTTTTTATTAAATTATTACCAGTTTGCTAAGAGTGTACGTAAACTTTATAAGTTTGTTACGAAACAAGTGTCAAACTCCATACCAGATTTTAGCCCGTTCAGATTTACATACTTTTTCTATTAATCTCGTCATTTGTCATTTTGTAACTTGTTAAAATTTTGTCATCTCTTTTGTCATTTTTTCATTAAATTTTGCCACTGCCATTCCAAATTTTAATTTTATCTAAATACTCTTTAAAAAATGTACTTGGCTTCAGACCCAGCAAAACTTGGGGAATACACAACATTAATTAAAAAGTTATTTTATTGGAAAATTTTGAGTGCACGAAACAACACAATTAGATTTGCTCAAATATATGATACATATGCTACCTTATTTCTTTACAGAGGTCAGCCTTATCTAGTTTAATTTAACCAAATATTTATCAAACATAGATTAACTATAGTTGAAGGCTGCAGTCTTGAAGGCTATGCACTACTTCGCTCAATGTATTTAATATTTATTTATACCTTAATATTTTACAGAAGGGGTTCAACCGTTTCCGAACCTTTGAAAGCTTATTGGCTAATCCAATCAGAAAATATAGAGATAAGTATAATCACAAACTTAAGATATATATTTCAAGCAATCAACTCATTGCATGTAAACATATTTACCTGCAATCAAAAGCATCTAAAATATTTAGATAGACTAGCCAATAAGCCCGTCCTAAAGACGGGCCACATGTTTAGGGATTTTGGGCTAAGTTACCACCATGTTGCTAAGGAAATTTTTTATGTTGCTAGGAGAATTTTGTTATGTTGCTAGGGGAATTTTTTTATGTTGCGAGGGGAATTTTGTTATTTTGCTAAGGAATTTGGTTATGCTGCTAAGGAATTTTTTTATGTTGCTAGGGGAAATTTGTTATGGGAAATTTTTTAGGGGAAATTATGTTGCTAAGGAAAGTTGTCTATGTTGCTAAGGAAATTTTTTATAATCATGATCATAATCATAGTCATAATCATAATCATAATCACAATTCGTATCTGTTCCCTGATTAGTGCACTATATAGTGGAGCAAGAATGTCAACAGCCAATCAGAATGCAGGAATGTCACGAAAATTTCAAGGGACGGCCTTATCGAAATTATAATATAGATGGTATTTACTTAATTGTCTCTCAGACAAGTTAAAAATCGACGTCAACGAGCCATATTAAAAACTTAGATAAACCTACGTACTATAACGAGTTTATGTATAAGACTCTACAATTTTAGTCAGTTTTTTACTGAAAGTCGTATGCACATAAAACCGTGATTGGTGCTGACACCAAAAAACTGAAAATAATGCCTGATTCAGGACTTCGTATTATGTCGTTGTATTCCTCCCTGTTTGAAAAATATTACCCATTCCTTTACACTCTGCCATGGCTCTGGGTTCCAGGACGAAATATGCTGGTTGTTTCATCCAGAAAGTACAAGAGAGTCTATAAAGCTTTACCAAGTTTTATAGGGCTAACCGCCATAATTGGAGCTATTATGTGCACCGCGTTCATTAAACTGAAATTTTTCGAAAAGAACTGCTTAACATGTAACGTAAATTGTGCCTGGTTGAGAAAAATCTTGGTGATCAATTTGACTTCGAAGAAGGACTTCGTGCTCGGATGTCAAGTTGTTCTTGGCTCGTTGGGTATCGTGGTTTTCGTCGTTTACAAAATTCTTTGTTCTGCAGAGGTGGAATTCATTCTCGGAATCAACGCCCTCGTCAAAGAAGTCATTTAACTTAAGAGGGGTAATTAAGCATCTTACAATGCGATGGTGTGAAGTGTAACGCTCCGATTTGGCTGAAATTTTGGAATTATGTGGTCCAAGTCAATACCACCAACGTTTCTTGAGCCAGTTTGTGCGATTGTTGGAATTTGAATATTTGAGGTCAAAGTTTAAAAAATAGCGATTTTTACCAAACGGAGGAAGCAAATCTCACGCCCATGCCGTTCGAAGGGAGAAATCCCCCATTTTTTAACTTTGGCTTCAAAAATATTGATCAATTCCAACCTTCGCACAAACTGCCTCAAGAAACGTTGCTTTTATTGACTTGGACCAAATAACTTACAAAATCGGAGGGTTACACCTCCCACCATCGCATTGTTAGTCAAATTGCATTCATGTTACGTTTAATCAGCTAAGTTGCGCAAACCGTGCATTTTTATGCACTTTTAATTTTCTTTCTTTCCGCACAAAAATGACGTCCCAATTTGACTAAAATTGTGAGCGGGGTACAATGAAACCTGTCACCTCTCAGTACATAATCCTCTATCAAATACTTTGATCTATTTTAATGCTTAAAGTCATATATCTTCAGTGTTCAGTCATTAAAAAAAGACTAGTTCGACCCCATTCCTTCAAACATTTTTGATTCAAATCCCTCAGTAAATTTTCATGTAAACCTACTTACTTTAATTTATTAATTTATTTCTCAATTTTTCAGAACTTCCCAAAACCTCGAGAAACCAAAAGCAATCCAGCAATCTTGAGAAATGCATTGTAGCCGCCCTCCTATCCAGCTACATTTCCTCTCCGATCCTCCTTCTCATTGCTTTCTACCTGGAAGTGGATCCTGTAATTTACATCGTGTCTTTTTTCTGCAGCCATCTCCCTTTTCAAATTACAATTGATAAGTCACTGATCTTTAGAGCAGGCTTCTTCCTTGGCCGGTATATTTTCAGTTTGTTCGTGGTTTTAGAATGTGTCAGGGTTGTCGCCTTTGTCGTATTACTTACCATAGTCACGGCCAACTAGGTGAGTGTCGCGGTCTCCCATCTATCCAAAATTTGCAGGAGGATCCTTCTCAGCGGAAAATTGGCGCATGGGATGCATTTACGCTATTTAAAAATATAGATTCCTTTACACGCCACTGAGAGTAGTGTGGGTCAGCTGGGTTTTGTTGGAATTGTGTTGACGTCAATAGTTCACATTATGGCGACCTACTGGACCGTCAGGGTGGCTAGAGTGCTGCCAATGCTTTTTGGAATTTCGTTGCTTGGGCTTTCCATTATTTCTTTTGTGTCGGAAATGTTGACGTTTTCACAAGCAGCGACATTCAATATGAGTTCGGGCGACCTGCTGAGGAAATTTGAAATGGCGGCGAATTACTGGGAAGAGGGGGCGATAAGGAGGAAGGTTTATGTGAGACAGGTGAAGGCTTTGAGGAAAATAGGTTTGTCAATTGGGTTACTGGAACATAGATTTTTTATTTGTTCGAGATTTACAGTTCTGACGGTGTTGAAGGAATTGACGAATCAAACGATAAATACGCTAATTTCATTTTAATAATTGGAGTTTGGGTAAGAATTGTTTAAAAATTGTTTATCTCGTTAAAAATTGCAAAACACTTTTATAAAAAGAATGTCACCATTGATACTTTATATTTAGTATAAAGGGTGTTGATTTAATTCGCGAACATCGATTTTTATGCCTGAGCTAAAGACAAAGCCAGCTATAATTATTATTATTAATTATTGATCCCGTTAAAGTTTTTCTTTGAAATTCTTACCATGAGTAGCACGAAGATAAGTGCTAATTATGAGCATTGAGACACAGGTCTTCGAAGCGGGGAATTTCAGGGGAAAACAAAAATCCACCTAAAATCGGACATCCCGAGAAAAGGTGATGGCAATGCATGAGTAAAAATTTTGTTGCGGATGAAAAACGTCATAAACAACCCAATTGGTTCCCACCTACCAGGAAAATAGAAACGTTACAGAAATTTGGCGCGAAAACGAAGGTTCTTGTCCAAATGGTGTATGGAAGTGAAATAACGCAAAACGGATTAAACGAAAATCAAGTATGAGTAGCCTATTTTGGTGAAAACTAACGTCCAATCTGCATAATGTGATCACAGAAGTTACAAACTAAAAGATCAAAATCATGTTTCCTCCAGAAACATTGATGACCGCGTTCAATTTACGTCAAAGTCTAGAAAAAGTGGGTATTTGGCACCATAAAGAATTGATTGCATCAGTTACCGTCAAATTATTATAAATCTATACAGGACCGAATGGTTCATTCAAAGTAAAATTTTTAATCCACTAAAATTATTATCGAACTGGAATTTAAATTAAATATTCATGGCACAAGTCGTTTATAAAGTAAGAATTTTATTGGTACATGGCTTCAACTAAAGATTCATCAATTTTATTTGATAATGCTTCCCATAACTGAGATAACCCGAAGGGTTGCCAGGCAATAAATATGTATGTATTACCAAAGACGGGAAGAATCTTAATATGTTTTTTATAAATTTTTATTCTACACTCAGAGCAAAAAGTAAGCAAATTTGCTACCGGGCGGTGTCTATATATGACCTCACCGGTTTGGTAGCGATTTGCTACGAAATTGTAGTAAATTTGCTCCCACATTTTGTCTCACCGTAACAGCGCGGTAGGGAAATACTAGAACATAGTAACATATTTACTACAACTCTGTAGCAAATCGCTACCAAACCGGTGAGGTCATATATAGACACCGCGTTTAGCGATTTTGCTCTGAGTGTACAAAAACCAATTGATGAAAACAGTTACGAAATAATGGGCGTACTCACGCCAACGTCTAATTTGGCATTGCAATTCATTTAGCAAACTTGTAAAGATCAAGATAGGTATTTCTGTCGTGAGGGGATTCGCAAAATACAACTTCGCAAATCTCTCCAATCTCGAAAAACACCTATTTTTGTATAGTTTCCAGCGATTTCATTAAGTTATCCTGCTCTCAATGGTGAGAATGAGTTTGCGAAATTATTTACACAGGTAATGCCACAAAAATTCACCATTCACAATATGCTAATTATATCCACATGTACATATATTTAAATAAACCTAGATAATCCTCCAAAGAAGAATTTGATTACCAATGCCAGGTCGGATTTTCGCGAATTTCATCGACCCAATCCGGGTTTTAAGTAGTTTCTCTCCGTGTACTTATGTAACCTTGCTTTCTCTCCACAACTTCCACTCACTCCGAGAAATACATGTCTAACGCAACAGATCATACCAAACACTCTGCTCACACTCTGACATTTAACCGAACCAAATCATGAGTAAAAGTCCAGACAGCAGACAGTGATTACATAGATAGTGACGCCGTACACTCAAAACAAAAATTTGTCAAATCAACACCGCCAGTGTCAATATATGACTTAACCGCATTGGTTAAAATGTTGATTCCGAGTTATGATGATTTTGATACCGGTATAATGTTATGACCGGACGGAAAAAATTCATTACTACTCGGAATCACAAATGTAACTAAGGCGGTTAAGTCATATATTGACACCGTTTTGTTTTGAGTGTACGTATAAAATTCGGGTATCTTAAAATATTTAGATCCCTGCAATGGGTTCCACCATCTCGATTATCAATGAGACCAATTGCATCCTCAACATTGCTTTGAAGCAGGTCACGCCAATCTACTATGAGAACAAGGTAAGAAAGCACGACCAAAATAAATAATCCAAACTTAAATATAAATTTATATCGGTTTCAAAGGACATTTTCTTCGAAATATAATTTCTTCGCAAGCTTTCATCCTTAACTATATTTACATATTTAAAACCATGATTTTCAATAATTCTACTCGTGTGTAACATATGTAGATAATATACGATATCTGCACATATAGAGTGTCCATAAATAGTTTGCAAATAGAAAACATTTTATACCAATAAATCATTATTATTCATAATTTGACAAGTTTTCATTGCCAATAACCAGGGTTTCTTCACCGTGTCCTTGGAGAATTTCTAGGCAGGGTCATCCCAGTTCAAAAATTCTCCAAATTTTTTTTACAGATTTTAAAGTTTGTGAAAATGCATTATTTTTGCTGCGAGAGTTTTGTTTGTTAAGAAAAATAAAATGCTCTGTAAATCGTCTCAAAATGCTAAAAATTTAATTAAAGTGCAAATTAAACTAATTATAAAATAAATGAACCAGAATCGGTAACTAAAAATTATTCACTGCATTCATCACGTTTTACAGAGCATTTTATATTTCTTGATATCCGAACTCTGCCAGAAAAAATAATGTATATTCCCAAACTTTCAAATCTGTAAAAAAAATTTGGAGAATTTTTGAAGTGACGTCTCCAAGGATACAGTGAAGAGACCCTGGTAATAACTTAACTAAAATTCAAATCGGCAATTATGTGCAGACATCACACAAATATTTAAAATGTATCTATAACACTGACCATGACGAAATTTTGTTTAACTATCAAACTCTAACCATGAAAATTCACGCACGAATTTTTTTCCATTCTAACCCATGTTGTGACCCAACTGTACACAGAGTAAAATATTTATTTATACATATCACAACTCACAGAATTTAAATATTTTTCAAAACTTTTTTAGGTCCTCCCTGGCCAAGTTGTGAAACGGTAAAACTATTGAAAAATCCTTCCATTCGGAGTCACTCATCCGAAATGGCTGAATCTTTCAGTCATTTTCATTCACTCTCATAATCTGTCACAAAAATGAAAGTGAACAGGTATGCTTTTTCCCAGGGAAGTTGGAAAAATCTGGTTCACCCTGGAAGCCACCCTTTGGACCGGGCAGAACGATTATACCGACGTTTTAAAGGACATCAACGTTTCCTCCGTCGCACGTAGAGCGGCCGGCGTTATGTTGTCGAGGACAGGGCTGTACAAGGAAATTATTAACGGCGCGGTTGGACTCGTCATAAAGGCGGGACAACCTCCGCAGACCGTTACGATTCAAAATGTCCTCCTTCCCGCCACCTTTTCGCCAGACGACCACCAAATAGTGGTTGACTGGGTGCACAAATTTGTGGTGAGAGAACATGGAATTTACGCCGGTGGGGACAAAGTCATTAAAATTGTGGGTGGTCCGCCAGCCGTAATTGACCCCCTGGAAAGTGGAGAGGGGACGCAGTTCTTGAAAAGTACGGAACCATTCGGTATTATTCAGGGTTGAAGGAAAAAATATTTGACAATGTGTACCTACATTCTCGACAATATTACACGAACCAATAATACATACAAGGTGGTTCATACATGGTGGTTTAAATGTCGGGTTACAATGGAAAATTTTTCAGTGCGAAAAATTCATAAATTCCTACTAGTTACGGATTTGGGGTTGAGATTTACATTAATTTTTATCCAAACTTATGGAACACTGAGGACAAAATTCTTAAAATACTGAATTTTAGAGGCAGCATTTCGGTAACTAATGGAGATTAGTGAATTTTTCCCATTGAAAAAATTTTCCATTGTACATAACGAGACACTTAAACCATCCTGTACATACATACATTCTCGACAATATTACACGGGCCAATTATAATGACCAATAATACATGCAAAAAATAGTACCCATTCGTAGATATGTAGTCTCCATACAAATTGTGTAGGAATATTTATGACGATGAAGTAAATATGCTTCAGTATTTTTTATTTGAGCTACAAGTCTAGAGGGTAGGTAACAAAAATCTGCAGTTGTCCAGAATTTAACACAGCAATGGATTGGGAGCTAAGCACGAATGGGAAGAACTTAAAAATATTCTTCTGGCCCAATGTTTGCAGGGGGTGGTTCCAGACCCCACAAAGTATACATTTTCTTACTCCACTTGCCGAGACCTTTCCATTAATATGTTAGACTTTAAATTGTCATCCACAAGTTATTTTTTGGTATGCAATTAACGCGTCTCCTAAAAAATGGTAAAATGTCTCAAAAGTAATATACAAGTTGCCTACATGCAAAACGTCTCCTAATATTATTTTCGAGGTCTCATATAAATCCATAAGTAACTCCTAAATTTTTTGTAATAAAAACTCCTTTTATTTCATATAAATAATTATCAGATTTATTGTTTTAACCAAGCCTTGTTGGATTTCTTATTCTTTCTTAAAGTGTAATATACGATTTGTACCTTGGACAAAAACAACGTTTGGTATTTTTAACATCAAAGTCGTAAAATGTGGGGGCCTTAAAAGTGGATAAGTTGTGTGCACGAGCGCCTTCCACAAGGATAAGTATGAAATTAGACTACAAAACGGAATTAAAAGATAAGCATAAGACAAAAGTGGTTTTCATGCTAAGTCCCTTGATAATATTCGCAAAGGCGATTTCTGCACTAGGGTCTCCGAAAAAAATCCTTTTGTTAGACGCCATTTTTTAATAAGAACATTGGTCTGGAAAATTAAAAAATAACACATTTCCTAATTTTACCCTGTATAATTTGCCAGTGCGCAAAATACATATGTTCACCTATAGTTTGAGACATGGGCTTTCACATAAAAAGCATTAGATTAGAAATCTATCCACCCAAAAACCTTCTGGTAATTCAGGTATGAATTTGTGAAAACCATCTCTGATCGCCTTTTGTGTATCATTGAATACTAGATAATATTACAAGCTAAATTAGCATGACAAAATTGTTCATTACCACGAGAGGGTTTTTGGGTCATGGTCGTGGCTAGCTATTGTCTTTTAGACTGATGCTTTCACTGAATCCTTGTGGAGAATAATCCTTGATTTCGAGATACATACATACCTTTGCCACTCGACACATATTTCAAAATTTGTTCTCTCTCTGAAGAATAAATTGATTCAGTAATCTCCACTCTTTTTGCTCTTCTAAGTAATTCTTGGCTTCAAATTTACTCTTGGAGCACCTCCCACTCATCGATTTTCATTTTCTTCATTGGGTTAAATTAACATGACATTAATGTCATGTTCAGAGTTAGAATCGCTGCCAGAGTCACCAGACTCAAATCACTTGGGACGTCACTTTTATTTAAAAAGCTATTGAAAACAAATAAAACCTTTAGCAAACAAACTGGAAGTATTTTGGATGTTGTGCGATGGACTTGATGTGCATAAGGCAGAAGATGATAAGAATTGCTTTTACATAGCTAACCATATTATGAGATAAATGTAAATACTTATGAGACATTTTTTTTCATTTAACAGACGTTTCACAGGTAGGCAACTTGTATATTATTTATGAGACATTTTTCGAATATTTAGGAGACGCGAAAATTTACTTCCTTATTTTTTGAATTTATTTTCGAATTTCCAAAAACGCTCGATTCGGGTTGTAGGAAAAAATTTGTAATCTTTTGGTGAAAGTAGCATTTCGATATCTTTTTCCATCATGGCGAAGCAGGCCTCCCCGTTTGCAGTTTTTGCGACTATGGATCCCTCCCACTGTGTCTAGGGGCGGAGTGGAACCAAATTATTGGCATCGTTGTACTTACAAAAATCACGTCACAAAAATCACCGCTAAAACTGTGCAAATCTTAACAAAATCTTATTTTCTGTCTTTCGAAATTCCGATTTGTTACTCGAATACATACATTTTTTATTTGCATATTAAATAAAATACTTGCCACTATAATTACAAAATGAGCACTATACATATGTAGTGATTGTAGATAATAAATATAATAATAATTAACTAATTCCTCACTTATCTTCAACTATTTATCCATAGCTTACCTTTCGGTTGAATTCATTTGTGTAATATAATTTATATATCCCAGCTTTTCATGAGTCACTCATTAAGTAAGTGATGACTTGCAAAGCGAACAAAGACAGCAAACCCGGAGAAATAAGATGAGAAAGTTGTGCAAAAAATCTCGTAGGATTCTGGGAACGTCCATGTATCACGTCATCATTTTATTGCGTGTGTGGGAGGTTCAGGATCCCATCTCTCCCATGATAAAATGCAATATCCCTTAATGTTTACGTTGCTGCTAAAATCCAGAATTTTTAATGACATAATAGATGGATGGTCCCTGACTCCGCTGACAAACACTCGGGACGGAGCATGCCGACATACTTTCTCCCCTTACCGAGTCTCCATGGACCGAAAATCATGTCCAAATATTTCCCAACTTTCTACTCTACACTTGGAAATAAGACATTTTGTGCGCAGTTTTTTTTGCCAAATAATTTCACAACCACAGGTAAACACTTTTAGCAACTGGTATTAAATCATTACCGAGCTGAGTACATACATACGTGACTCTACCGCCGCTGGAATTACCGTTCAGTAATGTTGCGGTAATGAAAAATATTTACCATTATGTACTACCAATCCGGCAGGAAATTATTACCAAATCAATACCAGTACGGAGTATCTATGTGACCAGATTTTTAACAGTGAATATTTACATAAATGCTGAACCCACCCCCCATAAGTCTGCCCACCCACCCGCCAGTGGTTCCCTTGGAGGAGGAGGATATTCTCAGGAAAATACGACAAGCCAGAAATATTAGATCGATAGAAAATGTGAGTGAAAAAATTAAATATGGGAACGTCCATACATTACGTCATCATTTTACTGTGTTAGTGGCTTAGGTCTTCCTATCATTCCCATGTTAAAATTCCTTATCCCTTAATGTTTTCCTATGGTTCGAAGCTAAAATCCAGAATTCTTAATTGCGTAATATATGGATGACCCCTGTGCACATTTAAATTGTAAACTGTGGGCTTAAAGTTTCTGAAAAGAGTGAAATCAGGTGAGCTCGCCTCATAAAAATCAATATTATTCGGAAACCAGCTGAGTCGTGTAAACAAACTTTTTCTCCCCTTGTTGTCCAACAATATGAGGAGTCGACAAGAGAAAAGGGTGCAGATTCAAACTCTATTGAGCGAGGGATATGGTGCCTCCCAAATTTCGAGGAAACTAGGAGTTGCTTACAATACGGTCAAACTGTGGGAAGGTCGCCGTACCGTGGTGGACAAAAAAAGGTCAGGCCGACCCACAGAACTCTCCCCCACTTCAAAATCGCAAATAACAAGAAATTTGAAGGAGAAAATTGGTGGATCTGTGAGGAAAACACTAAAGAAGCTGAACGAGTCGGCGAGGTATCAAAAGAAGGGGAAGAAAATAAGTCGTGCTGCGGTTCGAAATTACGTAAAAAAACAAAAATGGGGCAAAACGGCTTACAAAAGACCTAAGAAACAGATTTTGACTCAAAAAAATATTCAGGACCGATTAAAATTCGGCGAAACAGTCAAGAGAACGGGATATTTGGGTGACGACAGACGGGCGCAGCAAAAACGCTCTCACATTCTTTTCACTGATGAAACCTGACTGGAGGTGTCACCAACTGGTAACAGACAAAATCAAAGATACTATACAGCGGATCCGAAAAAAATCCCGAAAATATTGACCCCAAAACATGGTCTAAAAGTTATGGTAGCTGGCGGCTTCTGTGCTCAAGGAGTTACAAAGCTGCATATGGTAAGTGGAGGTACCGTAAACGCTGCATACTACAAAGACAAGATCCTCCCACTTTACATTAAATCCATGAAGGACCCAACTTTATTCCCCCAACAACAGAAGGTCACCTTTCAGCAAGATGGAGCACCAGCACACACTGCAAAAGTGACCACCAAAGTTTTGGAGGCGCTCCCTTTGACAGTGTGGGGGAAAGGGGTGTGGCCCGGAAATTCACCAGATTTGAATCCTCTGGAGAATTTATGGTCCATTGTTAAGGATTCTGCGTACAAACCGCCATATCCAACCACAACCGCTGAGCTATTCAGAAGATTTCAACATGAGTGGGAAAGCATTCCGGTTACCGTTTTGGAAAATTTGGCACAGTCATTCAATTCACGCATTGAACAAATGTTGGAAGCTGGTGGCGGACACTCTAAATATTAGTTAATAATCGTACAAAAAATTATAATATTCTATACACGCAATAAAAAGTTTTGACTACTTATGTTTTGAAGTTAATTTTTTTTCAGAAACTTTAAGCCCACAGTTTATGGCTCAATAATATACATACATTGATTGATTGATTTACCAATTGGTAGATTTTTACTGGTCCTGTCCTCATAATTCATGGAATGAATCGGATGAATTTGAGCTTGTGTGCAGGTAAGATTATAAAATGTCCCACTTTCCATCGAAGAATATAATTTAAAAATTGAGCAAATCAATTTAAGATTTAAATTTCGAAATCAAGTCGCGTTAGAAATATTTTTGAATTTCGTAACTCGCACAGAATTATTAAATGAAAAGTATGGTTTAATTTTTCAAATTGGAAACTTTTCAATGTCACCACAGCCAGGGTTCGGAAAACCCCTGGGTTTTTCTAGAAAAACAGAGGTTTTTGGGATTTTTGTGGGTTTTTGGGTTTTTGTGGGTTTTTTGGTTTCTGTGGGTTTTTGGGTTTTTGTGGGTTTTTGTTGGTTTCTGGGTTTTTGTGGGTTTTGGGTTTTTGGGTTTTTGTGGGTTTTGGGTTTTTGGGTTTTTGTGGGTTTATGGGTTTTTGTGGGTTTTTGGGTTTTTGTGGGTTTTTATAGATTTTTGTAGATTTTGGGGCGGGTTGAAGCAAAATTATTAAAATTATATTTTGGAGTCTGAAAGCGTCTGAAAATCTAATTAATTTAAATTGTAGTCAGAAGAATTTTGTTCCAATCTGCCTCAAAATTTTACAAAAATCCTGGAAAAACCACATTAAGCATTAGAGTTTCTCCGTGGATTTGATACCCCAAAAACTCAAAAACCTCCAAAAAACAGGGTAGCGGACCCTGACCACAGCTTCCAATACGTGCTAACCCATATTTCTGCTCTTCCAGATCAACCCTGCCCTTCCTCATCAGGAAAGTTGGAAAATTCTGAATTCAATCCTAATTATATTCCCGTTATATTCGTCCTTACCGGGCTCCTCATGTTTTTCTCAATTGTCCACCTCTGGCGCCAAATGCGCAACTGTTTGGAGTACTTGGAACACAATTCAGACCTCGTAAGCACGTAACAAAATCAATTTCAGAAACCTGCACGATTTAAATACAGGGTGGTTAAAATGTCAAGCTACAATGGAAAATTTTTCAATGGGAAAAATCCCTAAATCTCCATCAGTTACAAGATTTTGGATTGAGATTTTTATAATTATTAACAAAACTGATGACGAAATTATTAAAATGTTGAATTTTAGACAAAAATTCGAAAACTAATGGAAATTAAAATTTCAAAATTTCATCATTAAGGGAACACTGATGATGAAATTCATGACATGTTGAGTTTTAGAGACAAAAATTCGGTAACTAATGGAAATTGAAATTTCAAAATTTCATCATTAAGGGAACACTGATGCCAAAATTCTTAAAATGTTGAATTTTATAGACCAAAATTCAGTAAGTAATGGAAATTTACGAATTTTTCCCATCGACGAATTTTCCATTGTAGCGTGACATTTTAACCACCCTGCACATACATATGTAAATATGAACCTACTCATTCTGCACAATAAATCCAGGTTTTGCAAAAGTCTGTCAGATCCATCCGTAACCTCGCGCAACTCTCCATCATCACACTCATACCTGGAGTAATAGTCCATTACGCGAAATATAACGCTACATGGTTCATCCTTCTATGCTTTGGGGCCATTTACAAGTTCTACGTCGTAGCAGCGTGTCAAGGATACTTGAATTTATTCGACTCTAAAGAAACACCAATTAAACAAGATTCACAGATACGTGATGATCAGGCGGGACAACTGCAAGAATGCCGTGGATCTCAAGATCACACAAGTTTTGACCGTTTCACGAATCTTCCAGTCGTCCGGGAAGGACTTGTGGCATCATATTTGCTACAAGCACTTGGTATTCGGGACGAGGTTATAGTGACACCTGTAGCTCGAATTTCTGAAAATCCTCCAGCCGATGATCCCCCACCTTGTTACGAACTGGCCCTTCTTGCCAGAGATGATCCGTCATCTCCTCCCACGTATCGGGAAGCTATGAGTGTCAGTGAGGAATATGAAAATCAATTAGTATAAACTAGCGTATAAGCCCGTTTCCCGCCGGGCGACGGGCTTATTTGATATTCATGACAATTAAGTAGGATTGTTCATAATTCCAGCAAATTATTTTTTTTACAATATCTATATAATTAGCTACAAATGTCTGTTGACAAGGGAATGAAACTTTTTCCAATTTAACTTCCGTCACGGAAAATTACTTTCACTTCCGTTGCAGACAAACATTTCCAGCCTATAATATACAAGATTTAAAGCGGAAAGGGGTGTATTTTTTGACAATGAGGAAAAAATAAATTAACGAAGGGAACAACATTTATGCATATCTATGTACCTTATAAAATATGAGGCAGGTCTGATAAATCAGTGGACCAAGTTGGAAAACTTTGTAGAACTGGAGAAGATGAAGGTGAAAACTGAGGCTGGATTTTTAGCGATAAAATTGCACAATGTTGGCAAGCTCTTTTTTTACTTCTTGGTACTTGGAGTTGGTTTCTTTCTACTCGTGCGCTACATTCCGTTAAGCTAAGTTCGTAAGAATCGTAAGATGCGGATATTATGTACAGTATGTAACTTATTTAATGCTACGATTTTTAATTTCAAATTCAACTTCAATTTTCTCGAGAACAGGTTGATATTTCAAAATTGTTTTCATACCAATTCTTCAATATATATTGGACTACATTGAGGCAAATTTTCAAAGGAATGGAGATAAAACTGTTGAATCCACAAATATTTTAATATCAAAATATTGCGAATTGCACGTTACATAATTAATGCTACGGGGGTATGAGCGGTTAAATATTTCGACAGACCCCAATAACTGATTGAAATCGTTTGGGCATCTAATCCACAAACCCTTCGGTTACGCTATGGTCGATGTTTGTTAACTTTTCTGTGATGACGTGTGTGCCGGGGAGCCGTGCTTGTCAGGTTTAGTGTTATCACCAGCCGCTGCAGAATTTTTGGGTTATGGTCGATCGAGTTGAGGTTAAGAAATTTGAAATTCAGTCCAAAACCTTTGTATCATTATCCTTGATGCAATTTGAGATGATTTTTGTAATATTTGTCTAATATCCGACGTTTCTTAAAATTGATCTCTGACCAAAGTCTGTCTTTGTTGCGAATTGGCAAATATTTATTTCTAACAAATCAAGGTAAACCTCTTTGGTCATGATCCCAGCGACGCACGTTAATATTACTACCCTGAGGCAACATAAACTGCCCCAAAACATTATCTCTCTGCAAGATTTCGAAAGTTTCACATCAGGATTTGGCGGTACAAACAGCCTAGATTTCCTTATCTCTGCTATGTTTGATAGCTTGTCTCAGAAATCAATTTCTTAAGACTTATTTGGGCTCCTTCCGTACTCTTATCGTTCCATCTGAGCTAAAAAGTTGAATTAGGGTCTAATCTGAGAACAAAAATTGTTTCCGGTAGCCATGGGATCATCTTCTCTTTACATTGCCCACGCAAAGCATTTCTTGTGATTATTCGCTAAGGTGTATGGTGTGGAATTTGGAATTTCCCCAGATATTCCTGCGAATATCAGCCTGTGTCTAATCATTCATAGGTGTACAACAGTAAAACGGTCACTTTGAACATCTTTCGCAATTTCGGGCGCGGGCAGACAAGCATCATTGTCACTGTTTTTACAATCGTCGCGTGCGGGTGTGGTGTTTTACTGGGTTTACGACCCTGACGGTTACAATTCGCTACAGGTCCTGTAGTTTTCCTTTCTCCGGTGAGCCTTGGAACAGATCCGGCGTGTATTTTAAATTGTTTCCAAAGTTTCATTAAAGTTAGGCGTTATTAATGGACGGAGGTCACTTTTCCAATATTTTGATACTGAGAACGGTGCCCTTTGTTATTTATTTCTTTTAATTCGGCAGATTATTTTCATTTGTAGTAGAAATACTACAGAATTGTTTATCCGTTCGAAATTCTGCTCTGTACTTAGGAAATATTGCAAATTTGTACCGGTTGTGTATCGTAGCATCAATTATGTAACGTGCCATTCGCAATATTTTGACATTAAAATATTTGTGTATTCTACAGTTTTATCTCCATCCCTCTGAAAATTTGCCTCAATGTAGTCCAATATATGGTGAAGAACTGGTATGAAAACAATTTTGAAATATCAACCTGTTCCTGGGAAAATTGAAGTTGAATTTGAAATTAAAAATCGTAGCATTAAATAAGTTACATACTGTAGGTATGCACACTCTAAGAAACCCGATAACTAAGTTATTACCAGGCGGAGTATCTATGTGACTCTACCGCATGGTAGTTAGTTGACAAAAGTTATTAGAAGTTGGACATGCTTTATTACACATTTTAATAAAAATGTTACAAGTTTTTCCTAATACATTTTTTAATTTGAATATTGAATAAAATATTTCACACTATATTTACAAAATCAACATTATGTGTAACAATTGTAGATAAGAAATATGATAATTATTAACTAGTTCATTACTTATTTTCAACTATAAATCCGTAAATAGCTTACACTCTCAATACTTTTTTGACAAAATTGTTACCGGCGGAGGTACTATCCATTTCTTCCACGTGGTAACCCTATAGTAACAAATGATTTGCGGATCTTTGCCCCCCATTAAAAGCTACCCATGAAATGCTATCCATTATATGCTACCCGTGATGATCTGCTACCCATGAAATGCTACCCATTATATGCTACCCGAGATCATCTGCCCCCCATTATATGCTACCCGAGATCATCTGCCCCCCATTATATGCTACCCGAGATCATCTGCCCCCCATTATATCCTACCCCACCCATTTTCACTTTCTTCTTGCAAATTAAACCAAAATGGATACCCCGTTTTGCGTCGTAGTGCAACATAAGAGTTACTGTTTATTTACGCAAAATTAGTCAAATAATAAATTCTCAAAAAACGAATCAATACATAAAATCTTGAGGACCAAGTACGTCATATCACGTATTTGAAAATAATGCAAATTTCTCAACTTTCTCAAAATGCGAGTGCTTCTTTGGTATTTTGTGGAAAACTCGATGGTAAAAAGTTGACTTTTTTGGATATTTTTGTTCACAAATTCTGGAATTTTCCCTATACCAATGTTAAAAACCTACAGTGCAGACTTGATATAGCCCGAGTCAGGCCTAGTTGTGATTATCACTCTCATTCGACTTTTTTGCATGAAATTTTATCGTAAATGCACATGAACATATTAAAAGATATAGTGATATCCACTGGTCACCAGTATTGACCATGACCATAACTTTTTAACGAGCGAATAGTTTTTCCTAAAACTCTCAGAATATTACCCTACTAATATTCGACGTAACATAAGTAAATTCCAGCCACGCGGGTGGCTAGGTTATACTTTTGTTGGTGCACACATATTTTCACTCAATTCGACTTTTGCATGACATTTTATCGTAAATGCATTTCAAAAAATTTAAAATTTAGATTAATTTTTCCAATTTAAATTCACATTCTTCTATTTGTAATGATTGGCAGGCTATTTAACAAATTCAGCTCGATAAGAGAATTTCAAAAAATCGGTATGGGGCGCCCATTAAGGTCCTTCAGATGAATTTTTTTCTTATTTTACTTCATATTGTTTCATTAAGAGCTATTAACAACCTCTGTACCAAATTTCAGCTCAATTGGAACCTGTTCAAAATGTCATCTTATAAATTTCTGACTCGGGAATGATACAGTTTGTCAATTAATTTCGGACGTATTCCTAAAAACTAACCTAATATAGTCGTCTGCTCTACTATCACTTTTTAAGTTGAGACTATGTAAAATCTCGTAAAATCAGTCAAATAATAAATTCGTTGTTCCACTGATTTTAAGAGATTTTATATATTGATTAGTTTTTTGAGAATTTATTGTTCGGCTAATCTTACGAGATTTTATGTACATAGTTGATTCATAAATTCCCGCACAAGCATTTCTGGTGATAAATCACAAAGTATTTGAGCTATGAGTTAAAAATTTTTATGGATGAACAAGGTACTAATATGATTTAGAAATCATAACTTCTTTTTCAAGATTTCCTCCAAGGGCTTATACAGAAGATATAAGTCGTGACGAAAACTGCACGATCGCGGCACGCACGGTTTTCATTGGAAAATTGCCCAGATCTTCAGTAAGTATGACCTCAGGCCTTTAACGCTTTTATGAGACTTAGTACATATCTATATCTATAATTTTTACCACCAGTTACAATTTTGGGGATTAAGGTCTGCAAATGCTGAAGGTCGTTCCATGGACGAAATAAATTCACAAAAACTCGACTTAAGGCAGTTTTGGACAATTTTTTGCTCTATTATCAGTAGCAGAGCATTGTTGAAAGTCAAATGTTATTTTTCGAATAGTTCATGGCCCAGGGGTTTAACCATTGGCACAGGAGCATTCTGAAAATAATTCTTGACCTGAATTTTTACTACTTGCGGTGAAAAACATGGACTTCCTTTCTCCAGCCAACTCGCTCCCTTTAACACCATGTTGGTGACTTTTTATTTACTTCCGCGTACGTAAAGGGATGTCAGACGTCCGTAGAGCAAATATCTGTCCAATCAAGGGATCCCCACTGAAGGCATCCTTTCTGAAAGGCATGAACACTTTCCCATGAAAAAGGTGCGTGCCGCGACCGATTAGCCGTCGTCCCGACTTATGTCTTCCGTATGAGCCCTTGAAGGAAATCTTAAAAAAGAAGTTATGATTTTTAAACCATATTAGTACCTTGTTCATCCATACAAATTTCTAACCAATAGCCCTAATACTTTGGGATTTGCCACCAGAAATGCTTGTGCGGGAATTTATGAATAGACTATGTATTGATTCGTTTTTTGAGAATTTATTATTTGACTAATTTTGCGTAAATAAACAGTAACTCTTATGTTGCACTACGACGCAAAACGGGGTATCCATTTTGGTTTAATTTGCAAGAAGAAAGTGAAAATGGGTGGGGTAGGATATAATGGGGGGCAGATGATCTCGGGTAGCATATAATGGGGGGCAGATGATCTCGGGTAGCATATAATGGGTAGCATTTCATGGGTAGCAGATCATCACGGGTAGCATATAATGGGTAGCATTTCATGGGTAGCTTTTAATGGGGGGCAAAGATCCGCACACCGTAACAAATTGTCCTCGGTGGGTAAGAAATTGGCTCCGGTACCGGTAATATTTTTATTACCTAAACGTTGACATTGGGGGCTGAGCAGGATTTAGTCTCTGTATATATGTATGTTACCCTTCGGTGATAAATTATTACCCGAGCGGTAGAGTTGCATAGTACCTCCGCCGGTAAAAATATCATCAAAAAATTATTGAGAGTGTACCTTTCGGTTGAATTCATTTATATAATTTAATTTATATATCCGAGTTTTTCATGCAGTCATGAGTCACTTATGAAGAGAAGAGCTACACAGCGAATAAAACCCAGATAAATAAGATGAGAAAGTTGTGCAAAAAATCTCTTTGCCAAAGAAATTTTTTGCAGAATCCAAAGAGTCTTTGGATTCTGGAAACGTCCATACATATATCACGTCATCATTTTAGTCCGTGGGTGGTTTAGGTCTTCCTATCTCTCCCATGTTAAAATACAATGGCCCTTAATGTTTACCTTGGGTGGGTAGGTGCTAAAATCGAGAATTTTGATGACGTACTATATGGATGGTCCCTCTCCGCTGCAAAGCCCTTCTATATACATACTCCTCATCATTTGTACGATGGCTCCAACCGAGTTCGATTATCTCGCTTCGTTCTCCCGTTATCTTGCCTACAACAAGACGGACGGACAGACGGACAGACAGACGGACGGACGGACAGACAGACGGACGGACGGACAGACAGACGGACGGACGGACAGACAGACGGACGGACAGACAGACGGACGGACAGACAGACGGACGGACAGACAGACGGACGGACAGACAGACAGACGGACGGACGGACAGACAGAGATACGGACAAAGTCGTCTAGCATAAAGTAGCTGAAGCTACTTACTAAATATGTAAATTATGGAAGCAATAGCAAATTTTAACGTTTCTAAAAGTATCATCCGCCTTTCAGAACCAATTACAATCGTAATAGCTACATTTAGCTATAGCCTACAAAAGGTAAGCTATAGCTTATCTTTCGGTTGAATTCATTTATGAAATTTAATTTATATATCCGAGCTTGTCATGCAGCCATGAGTCACTCAATAAGACAAGAGTTGCAAAGCGAACAAGGACAGAGAAACCCAGAGAAATCAGATGAAAGTTGTGCAAAAAATCTTGTTGGATTCTCTGCTGGGAAGCCCTTCTACTCGGGTCGGAGCACGCCGACAGATACTTTCTCCTCTTACCGAGTCTCCATAGACCGAAAATCGTGTCCAAAGATTCCCCAACTTTCTCCACACTTGGAAATACGTAGAACATTTTGTGCGCAGTTATTTTTTTCAAATTATTTCCCGACCTGGCCCTAAATATTTACATAAATGCTGAACCCACCCTCCCCAAGTCTGTCCACCCCCACGTCAGTGGTTCCCTTGGAGGAGGAGGATATTCTCAGGAAAATACGACGAGCCAGAAATATTAGATTAATAGAAAATGTGAGTGTCATAAATAGTTGAAAAAATTATAAATATGTGCATTTAAATATGGTGTGAACATTAAAAGTAGAGTACAATTTTTAAATACATCATTAGACGGCGGATATGTATGTATGTGTAACTATTTCATACCAAATCAGATCGTACTAAAATTTCGTATACTGATATTCCATTTAAGCACGATGGCAAGAATTAAAACAGTTTTCTATATTTTCAATATTTTAGGATTTTCGTACATATCCATATTTTCCTGTATATTTCGAGCATTTTTCAAAATATACATAAATATGTTAGTAGATATTTCCAAATTTAAGTTTTTTATGTGAAAATATTTTTCTTCATTCAGAAATTAGAGTTTCCTCAAAATTATATTTCATAAATGTAAAAGAAAATCCAAGTTGAAAAATATTTTGTAAGTGTATATTTTCAGGTTTTTTAAGCACATATTAGACATATTTTGCGGAATTTCCGTACATACATACATATCCGCCCACTGAGCATCATCCTTCCTCAGTGACCTCGGTGGGCGATGGTTTGTCCCACGTTTAGCGATTAATTGAGCCTTATCTGTAAGGTGAGAAATTTATCGTAATTTTCCGATAACCTGACCACGAACTTACGTGGCATGAAGGTTAACCAGAACTCAAACATTGTACTCTTCTTTTAATGTTCACACCATAATCTGGCTCAATAATTTACAGTGATTTCTATATCAATAGATTCTTACTGGTCCTATCGTCTTAATTCATGCAATGAATCTGATTACTGTCAGCTTGTGTGCAGGTAAGATTATACAATGTCCCACTTTCCATTCCTTCATGTTCGATTGTAGAATTCAATTTAAAAATTGCAAAATTTAAATTTCAAAATTTAGTCGTTTTAGAAATATTTTAAAATTTCCCAACTCGCATGGAATGGGTTGATTTTTTAAAATTGTAGAATTTCCGATGTCACCACATCTTCCACACTCTTAGAAATGGGGTTACGATTATAACCAAAAAGTAAACTTATATGTATAACTCTACCGCCGTGGTTATGAATTTGTCACCAACTGGTTATAAATTTATTAGCTCTGGTGACAATTTATTGTCAAGTCGGTGAGCCTTTATAAATAATTAGTCCGTGACAGTTGTAACCACTCGACGTCGTCGAGTCGACGAGAAATTTATAACCATTTGGTGACAAATTCATAACTACGTCGGTAGAGTCATATACGTTTACTTTTTGGTTATAATAGTGACCCCATTTCTAAGAGTGTAATACATACGTTAAAAAGCGATTAACACGACATAAATTTTAAGCTGTTCCAGATGAACATTGCCCTTCCTCATTAGTAAAGTCGGAAAATTCCGAATTCAGTCCTTTTTACCTCATTCTAATTACATTCGGCCTTACCGGGCTCCTTATGGGTTACTCAATTCACTACCTGTGGCACCAAGTGCGCAACTGGTTGAAGTATGTGGACCAAAATTCGGACCTGGTAAGCACATACAAAAATCAATTTCTGAATAGGGACCGTTCATAAATTATGTAATGCGAGAGGGAGGTGGGGGAGGGGTCGAAGTCACGGTAAAGAAAACCCCGGGGTCTTGCTTTTGAAAACCTATACCAAGGGGTTTTCCCTAGGTTTTGCGGGTAGTCGGGGTATTAGGGGTGTTGGGGGTAGTCGGGGTAGTCGGTAATCTGTTTTTCAGTAATTTCCAAATAAAGCCACTTACCAATTTAATTTTCATACCTAACTAATTTCAGAACTGTTGGTAATGTCCGGTTATAATACTTTATTAGATTTGAAAACCTCGACTACCCTGGGTATTGCTTAGATTTCCTACCCCTTCAAACGCACAAAACCCCAATACCCCAAATACCCGGAGTAGCGTACCCTGGTCGAAGTTCTGCGTTACGTCAGGCAAACTAAAGTCGGCAAAAATCAGGTATTGATTAAAAAACAATTACAAAAATTGAGCCTTTATGTGGTGTCCAAATGTTTAAACATTTAAATTTTATTTTGTTCATTAAGAACACATAAATTGAATAAAGGTGTCTGAAAAAAGTAGATTTTTGCATTAAATAATTTTTGAACGGCCCCCAATCTGCACGATGTATGTACTCATTCTGCCCAATCCAGGTTTTGGAAGAGTCTGTCAGATCCGTCCGTTGCCTCGCAAAACTCTCCATCGTCACACTTCTATTTGGAGTGACATGCCATCTCGTCCAAGATAACGGTACATGGGTAAAAATCCTTAGCTTTGGGGTCATCTACAAGTTCTACGTCGTCGCAGCGTGTCAAGGATACTTAAATTTATTTGACGGCAAAGAAACACCAATCCCTTGCCAACTCAACGAAGACTCGCAGATACGTGATGATCAACCAAGACGACCGCAAGTATGCCATGGATACCGAGATCTCACAAATTTTTACCATTTCACGAATGATGGCACGAACATCCGGGATGGCCTTGTGGTGTCCCATTTGCTACAACCACGCGGTAATAGGAACGAAGTAGTAGATCCACCACCCCTTGAAATTAGGCGACACTCTGGTCTAACCTCGTCACCGGTACCGATACCTTTACCGACATTTATTACGATACCGACACCAGCGCCTGGAATTTCTGAAAATGATGAAAATCCTCCCACCGGTGATCCACCTTGTTACGAAAGCGCCCTTCTTGCCAGGGCTGATTCATTGCCTCCTCCCACGTACCGGGAAGCTATGAGTGTCCTGGAGGATCATAATTTCTCTGGAAATGAATTAGCATAAATTTAAATCGGAACAGGGTATATTTTTCTAAATAAGGAAAAAAACTGAAGAAATTAACGAAGGGAACAATATTTATGTATAACTATCTTATAAAATGCTATTGTCGCTCATTCATTCATTCATTAATTGTGAAACAGAATACATTTTTTTGAAAAAACTTAATTGAGTTGAGATTTTAAATGCATCTTTATTTAATTCGTTTTATCTCAAATTTTGTGATTTTTATGTATGTATTTATAACTTTTTCATACTAAATCAGATCGTACTAAAACTTCATAAATGGGCATCCCATCCAAGCACGATCGCAAAAATTCAAACAAAGTTTTCGATATTTTCCGTTTTTTAGAGCACATATTTTAGGGTATTTTACAAGTTTTATTTCGTACATATTACATACATAAATATTTTCATACATAGGTAATTTGTGAATTCTTGAATTTTTGAAATTTGAAAATTTGTGAATGCATATATGTATGTACATACATACATATTTTCATGTATAGTATGAGAGTATTTTTCTAAATATACATATTTTAGTAGATATTTCCAAGTTTTTTTGGCTAAAAATATTTTTCTTCAGTCGCAAATTATAGTTTCCTCAAAATTATATTTTCATAAATATAGTAGAAAATTTAAGTTGAAAAACATTTTTTATATCCATATTTTCAGGTTTTTTAAGCCCATATTACATACATATTTTTCGGAATTTACTTACATACATAACCGCCCTCTACTTATTAAGCAACACATCTGAACTTATTTTTCCATAGTGTGCACTTTGCCACAATGTCGAACCAGTTCACTAAAAGAGAAGAATTTTTTCCCACAGAAATAACACTCATTTTTCCTCACTCCGCCGTGCACCCGCTTGAAGTGCACCGTCAATTGGGCCTTGATGTGGCTTTTGTACGCGCACCTGTCGCATGAATGACGGACCTTCTTGTTCACCTTTTTGGCGGGGATGGCGGGACGACGCTCGTGATCACGTTCAGAATGCAACCTTCTCCCACGCATGCTTAGAAATTGGCGTGGACATGATTCACACTGGAAGAATTTTCGCGACGATATCTCTCGATGGGTTTCCTAGCAGAGTGGATGTATGTGAGATTTAAAATGAGAAGCAAATTAGAATTAAAAATGAGCAAAATTTACTCAAGGTTGAGTAAAAAAAAAGAGGATGAAATAACCAAAAGGTAAAATTTGCCCAACGATTTGCAAAACTTGTACCAAGCTGTGTAAAAATTGCCCAACATTGTGCAAAATTTGTCCAACGTTGTGCAAAATTTGTCCAACGTTGTGCAAAATTTGTCCAACGTTGTGCAAAATTTGTCCAACGTTGTGCAAAATTTGTCCAACGTTGTGCAAAATTTATCCAACATTATGCTTAATTTGTACAACATTTTTGTAAAAATTGCCCAACATTTTTGTAAAATTTGTCCAATATTGTGCAAAATTTATCCAACATTACATATGCTCAATTTGTCTAACATTTTTGTAAAATTTGTCCAACGTTGTGCAAAATTTTACCTTTTTGTTGTGTCATCCTCTTTTTTTTATCCAACGTTGAGTAAATTTTACTCATTTTTAGTTAGAGTGTACACATTTTTTTGAAAATACAAACTCACCTGGTGTCTATGCAACTTATTCTTCTGAGCGAAGCTTTTCTTACACGTGGCACACTTGTAAGGCTTCTCTTTCGTGTGGGTAAGAATATGAAGGTCCAATTCTGGCCATGTTTTAAATTCTTTTTCGCAATAGGTGCACGGAAATCGGACCGGATTTTCGGAATGCTCCACTTCAAAGTGCTTCGCAAGAGTACCCTTGGTCAAAAATGTTCTATCGCACGTGCCTGACGTGCATGGAAATCGGGGTCGTTCCGTCGCCGTGTTGTGAATATTTTTCGTGTGGGCTCGTAAATTTTCTACTAAGGAAAATTCTTTCTGGCATAGCGGACATTTGTGCAGTTTTCGGGATGATCTTTCCAAGTGGGTTAGCTATTTTAAACGGTAGGGTAAATTTTTTAGAATAGGAAAAAAGGAGCAAATAACAGCTTTTTAATTAGCCACATTTCTAATTAATTAGTAATTGATAATTAGAAGGAAAATGTTTCGTCTAATTAATTGGTAATTAGTAATTAAACGAAAGTTGCTAATTAAGCCAATTAATTAGCTAATTAAAGAGCATTGACCAATTAATTGGTGACTTTCTAATTAATTATTAATTAAACTTAGCTTCGGTAGTATGTACCAGTTAATGTTAATTAGTAATTACTACACTCCAAGAAACCCGGTAACTAAGTTATTACAAGGCGGAGTAGCTATGTGTGTGACTCTACCACATGGTAATTAATTTATTGTTGAGTGGTAGAAAATTAGTTACCAATTGGTAATATTTTCGAATTTCGCGACCGGGATTATTACCGGTTTGGTAAGAAAATGTCTATCACTCAATAATAAATAAATTACCATGCGGTAGAGGACTCACATAGATACTCCGCTTGGTAATAATTTAGTTACCGGGTTTCTCAGGGTGTAATTAGTTTAAATATGCTATTCACGTAGATAATTAATTAGATTCGGTAATTAATTAGTAAGCCCTGGTTGCCAATAAATGTATTTCAAAATATCCCAAACTTACTCACCTCATGCCTAGCCAACTTACTCTTCTTCGGAAAACCCTTCCCACAGGTGGCGCACTTGTACGCCTTCTCCTTCGTGTGGTACATAAGATGTTCATTTAAATCTCTGGGATATTTAAATTTTTTGTCGCAAAGGGTACACCGAAATCGGCGAGGATTCTCGGTATGATTCATCTTAAAATGCTGCGTGACGTCGTCCTTGTTCAAAAATGATTTATCACAGCCGGAAAACGTGCATGGCAGCCGTGGTCGAGGTTTCGTGCTGTGCATAGCAGCCATATGTTTTTTGATACTTTGGGAAGTGCTGAATTCTTTATGACAAATTTTGCAGCGATAAATTTTTTTATAAGGTCCGTGCTGCATCCTAAAATGGACATTCAGGACGAGACGATTTTTATAAGGTTTCCTGCAAACCTGGAAAAAATTGGGAAATTTTTAGTTAGGTTAGGTTTATCTATTTCATCGGTAAATAATTCTTTAATTAGAAACTGTTTCTCAGGTGAAGCAAATTAATCTCTGAACTAGCGACAGCATAAAAAATAACGCCCGTTTGCCATTTAATTATTGGAGAAAGAATTATTTTGCTTGCATAAAATTATATTTTTGTTTAGGGGTATAAAATAAACCCTAAAATTATTTGCATCGCCACCCGTTGTATTTTTGACACAATAGCAATCTAATTTAATGAACTACAGTTTGGTCATTTGAATTAGAGACTCTTTTGGTAAATTTTCAAATTTTCTGGTAACTAAGAAAAATATTTAAAAAATCTAAAAAGAGCTGTTCACAAATTGTGGGCCAATTAAAAAATACAATTATTGTTATCAAATAATTCATTGCATAAGTCTACGAACGGCTCTTCGCGATTTTTAATTTTAATTAGTTGCTATCCTGGGAAAAATTGCAAAATTCAAAAAGAGTCTCTAATTCAAACTGTAATTATAATTACAGAAGCTTATTAGACGTTTAATTATATATAGAACTAGCGTATAAGCCCGTCTCCCGCCGGGCGAGAGATGATTAGATTATCAAAATTTCATCAGTTAAATATTTTGTCGATATTTATTTTTAAAAAACAATTTGACACCAACGGAATTGAAAGCAATTTGCAACGAAAGTTAAAGTGGAAAATTAAATGTCACCCACTTGGCTCTGTCATCTCTGCCAGTCTGCCAGTGGCACTGCCATTGCCACTGGCAGTTTGTCTGGCACTTATCTTGGCTCAGTCGTCTCTTTCAGCCCAGTCTGCCAGTTGCACTGCCATTGCCAATGGCAGGAAACGTAGCAATCATCTAGTCCCCACAAACAGGCTACCTCAAGCAATACGATGGCAACGGCAATGGCAACGGAATCCAATAAGATAACCTCTTCAGATAACCACCAGAAGTGCCATCAATGTACAGAAACCCCACGATAACCACCATCAGGCCGCCACACCCTGATAACCACCATCAGGCCGCCACACCCCGATAACCACCATCAGGCCGCCACACCCTGATAACTACCATCAGGCCGCCACACCCTGATAACCACCATCAGGCCGCCACACCCCGATAACCACCATCAGGCCGCCACACCCTGATAACCACCATCAGGCCGCCACACCCCGATAACCACCATCAGGCCGCCACACCCCGATAACCACCATCAGGCCGCCACACCCCGATAACCACCATCATGTTGCAACCCCTCGATGACCACCATCAGACAACATAGCGCCGATAACCACCACTATGCTGCCACACCCATATAACCACCATCAGGCAGCAAAGCCCTGATAACCTCATATCATCAGGCAACTTATAACTACGTTGGTTAAACCACCACCAGGCCGCATTCTGATAACCACCATCGACCAATAACGACCCGATAACCCCACCTTCTCGCATTTATTTTTAAAATTAAAATTTTTGAATTTTCGCGCCATTTGAAACTTGTCTTTCTCCGCTTTCACTTCCGTTACAGAACATTTACTTTCACTTCCGTTGCCAACAGACATTTCCAGCTTATAATATAGATATATATGAAAATACTGAATACTAGATACATATTTATAAATGAATTTATATATTTATATATAACTATAGTAGAGGCCCGTTCAAGAACGGGTTCTAGGCCCCCAGAGGGGGGTGTGCCCATAGCGTAAAATCCCTAAACTTTAAATAATTTCCAGTAGAGACTTTGTCCCTTGTCATAGCGCATACATGCATCAAAGTGCCCAAGTCATGCTGTATTTCAATTTCCCTGGTTACGGAACAATCTGATTTTCCCCTGTGGGAGTGGCTGGATAGCTAACCACTTAAATTCTCACGTTCCACGCTCCCATTAGCTTACACAAACCCCGTTAACTTCCACAATCCCCTTTAACTTCTACAATTAACGCCAAGCTATTGACGGCGTTGGATTCAGCGTCAAAAATACATTCGAATTGATATGCGACATCACGAATAAGCGATATTTGAACCCCACGGTCACGGGAAGGTCACGGGGGCCTCGGAGGTCAAAACCATTGACGGCGTTGGATTCAGCGTCAAAAATACATTCGAATTAATATGCCACTCGCTGTGGGTGGAGTTTCTCAAACTAAAATAATTAATTAATAGTGTTTATCACGATCACTTATCATGATAACCACTATTGATGAGTGATGTATGTATGTATGTATGTATGTATGCTGCTCACTCACTGTACATTTTCATGCATGCATTCATTCATGCAATCCAGTGGTGGCTTCGCTTTTTTCTTTGTCTCCTCTACTCTCCTCATTTGCATAATTCTCCACAGGCAGGCAGGAAGGCAGGCAGGGAATACGCTGGCTCTTTATGAGTAGTGATTTATACAATTTAATGAATGTATTTATAAATGTTATCTGTGATAGTTAAAAATGCAACAGGTGGTGTCGCAAATAATTTTATCGTAATTTTAATAATTTTATTTTATACTTTTCCTTGCTGCCCACCACTTCACCTAAGCACGTCGTTTTTCGGGATTATTTTATTTTACATGCGAAGCTTCTTCAATGTTTAAAATTTAAGCATAATAATTTTAATAGAAAACATACTTCGCACTTAACTGCGGCGTCTGCATCATGAGTGATCAGATGACAGTTCAAACCAGATTTGTCTTTGAAAGTTTTCGAACAGTGTGGACATTTTTTAATTGAAGCCATTGATAACTGTCAAGTCTAGAAGTCTAGATTTCCACTAGAAAATGCAAACTATCCAAAATATCAAGAAATTTATTAGGATTTTCTTTTATCTCCATATATTTCCAGAGTTATAAATATTTTACATTCCAAATTTCTTACCAGATCAAAGCGATAGTCTTTGTAACGATTTTTTTGAAAGGTCTCCTGATAATTTTAAGTGTAGGTACTCGTTTATTTTCCAAATAAATTTAGAGAATAAGTTATTACCTGAATAAGTTCAACACAGAGTGAATACTGGATAAAGAGTTCTGCTCAAACCAGCTGAGAAAACTGTGTGGCAACCTTGCCGGCAACACGGAGAATGACAGTTTGTAGTTTGGACAAAGGGGCCATCCATATATTACGTCATCAAAAATTCTCAATTTTAGCACATACCCACCCAACGTAAATGTTAAGGGATAGCAAATTTTAACATGGGAAATACAGGAAGACCTACATTAACCACCTACCCGCTTAAACGATGACGTAATATATGCACGATCCTTTTGGGATTCGGAATGAGATGCCACGTAAAACCTCTGGCTGGGTTTAACCCTTTATACCAAAGTTTGATTGATATAGAGAAACCCCTAAAAGTTTAAGGGTTATGTATGCCCTTTTCTTTATCTTAGATTGTGGATGGAGGGGAATATATACTGGGATACTAACAAACGTTTACATATTAGAGATATATTGGAAGTGACGAGTATGTGAAATCAAGCTTTGAAAGCGTTTCGGTACTCTGATTATAATTTTTAAATAGATGCACATTCAACATTAAACTTGACGTATTTCAGGAAGTAATATATTTTTAAGTTCACCGATATACATACGTGACAATTTTTAAAATTTTCACAATTTCCAAAAAGCAACGTCCGACACAGATGGAATGTTACTAATATAACTTTTTTACTACTATAATTTTACAATCCATTGATAATATAATCTTGGTAGCACCATAGTAATAAAATTTTTGCATACAATTTTTAAATTAAATGATGAATCCGCATTGGACTCATTAATTCGCACCGATTTCCCACCTACTAAGATATCCATCCCTGTTCAAATCCAGTCTGTTAAATTCGCTTGGAACAAAGCTCATTTTCAAGATGGGATCCCCAATCCTTCCTGTCATTAAAATTTGATACGCCTCACTCCACGAAATCTGGCCGTCACCGTCGAGATCCATAATTCTGAAGCTATCTTCTCTTGGGTACATGGTTCCCTGTAAGAATGGAAATATTAAATTTTTTAAGTCAACATTTTACACTCTTGGAAATGGGGTTACGATTATAACCAAAAAGTAAACGTCACTCAAAACAAAAATGTTTCAAATCAACACCGCCGGTGTCAATGTATGACTTAAACGCCTTGGTTACAATTGTGATTGCGAATTATGATGATTTTAATACTGGTGGTTATAATATTATCACCGGACGGAAAAATTGCATTACCACTCGGAATCACAATTGTAATCAGGGCGGTTAAGTCATATATTGACACCGGCCGTGTTGATTTGACAAATTTTTGTTTTGAGTGTATGTGACTCTACCGCCGTGGTTATAAATTTGTCATCGAGTGGTTACAGTTGTCACTGACTAATTATCAAGTTTCAGCGACTAATTATAAAGTTTCACCGACTTAGTATTAAATTGGCACCAAAGCTAATAAATTTATAACCAGGCAGTGACAAATTCATAACCACGGGGGTATAGTTACATACATACGTTTACTTTTTGGTAATAATCGTAACCCCATTTCTAAGAGTGTAGCAATTATGCAAAAAATATCTCACTTTGCGCGGGACAGGTAAGCCGCCAGTCCATCTTTTCTTGCGCCCCGTTGGGACCGCGATACCGGGCGGTGGTCCGGGCGGAATGTTTGTTGGATTTCCCATGATACACCCACCGTCACAGGCGCAGCAAAAAAAGTTGCATTGCCCCACCCCACAGCAAATGTCGCCAAGACTGCCATCGTCACAAGTTCCTGTAGAAAGTAGTGCATAATTAACCTCTTTTAGACTAAATTCGTCATATGACGTATTTCAAAATACGTCGCTAAGAGACCAAATACGTCATATCACGTGTTTTTAAAAAATGCAGATTTCTCAAATTTTCCCAAAATGCGATATATTTTGTGGAAAACTCGACAGTCAAAAGGCTGATTTTTTGAATATTTTTCTTCACAAATTTTGGCATTTTCCCTATACCGACCAATGTTAAAAAGTTTTCGTGATTTTCGGCGAAAAACTCAAAACCTGGAAAGTATTTGAAATAAATGTGGGCCTTTTCTAGGAAATCATGGAAATTTAATTGGTTGCTATCAGATGTAGATATGAATTTATAATCGTACTCAAGAGAATTGTTGAGAATTATGGTCTCAATTAGGTTAAATCTGTATTATTGAATATGTAAAGATGTTTAACACTAATGCATTAGTGACAATAACGTATTACAACATTATAATGTTGTAATACGGACCTGCAGCTCCGGTGATAACATTTCTGTCTTGTGGTTGGCAGCAGACGCCCTCAGCTGATTGGATATTGAGCAATAGTGAGATTGAGAAATTGATCCAGATAAGTTGTGAGAATACCATGGTGGCCATTATTCTTTAAAGAATATTTTAAGCAATTGGTCAAAGATGAGTGAATAGTAAGCTATGACTTGACTCCTTGAAAGTTGGGGACAGAATGGGTATTTTTTCTATTCGTGACGATAGTCTTTATTATGACTTAAAATATGTTGGAAAGTATAATATGCCAGAAATAGAAAATTTTGTAACGAAATAATATGAAATATAGTCCTTAGTAGTGACAGATTATAAGGTATACAGGACTTTCCATTTTTATTCAAGGGACATTCCCTTCCCTTCACCATAATAGGGGTCAAGTCTCTCATTTCTTACGAGAGAGTTTTGGGAACCATTTTCCCCATCTTTGTAAATATGTATCCAACGTAAATACCTGTGCGAAAGGTAAAAATCCCCATACCTTGGTAAAAGGGCATTAACTGTCATTAACACTTGCTAAATAAAAGCAAATTCTTATCTCCATGGAATATGTCATCCTCTCTTTCCGCTGTTATACAGATATGTTTGGATCAAGTTAGTTGAATGACATCAACCTCTAAAACATATGTATTCCAACAAATAAATAAAGTGCTTTGATATGTACGTGTGGTTGTTAATACAGGTTTGTGGAATTCCCAAGTACTTATTTTTATTTGTAGATTTTGCATATGTACATGTATTTACATATACAAGAACAATGTAAAGCCAGCCCTATGCATTTTCAAGTGCTGCATGGCAGCCACAAATAGTCGCCCTTTATCAGAATAACTCTACAAATTTTACGATCAGAAGGTTCAACAACATTTGCCTTCTACCTGAAAACAAAGTTGCGTGCAATTTAATCACTCCAACACTAAAAAATACATACTTATGTATGTGCGTAATTCGTAGCATTTTTCGAAAAATGGGCAAATTGATATTACATATGCTTCCTTACACGGTTAATTAATACGTATTATTTGATCATCAAACTTCGATTTAAATGCATGACACGAATACAGTCGGAAGTGGATTAATATGCGAGTTTACGTCATAAAAACCATCATTTGTCAGTTATAAAGTGATGTTTTACAACTGCAAGAATAAAATTTAATTATTTATGTAATTATTTGATTTATACTACATATATATTATTTGTAAAACTTATATAATGCAGATTTGAAGTAAGTATATAACCATTTATTTCTGCAAGTAAATTTTTTGCATTACCAATGTGCAATTTGCATGTTGACTATGATTGTAAATATTTTAAATTTTCTAAAAATGTAATTGTTTTGTAGTAATTAGGCAAATTTAAATCTCGTTGTTAGTATACAACACAAACCATTTGAATCACATGTTCCAACACCAAATACCATTATTCATCAACTACTTTACACTGTGGGCTACGAAGCCAACCAAGTAAATGCATTTTTAGTTACTTAATACATTCCGTCATCCAACGTTTTCTCTTTGTTCGTTTCCAAGTAACGCATAAATTACAACCAGCCGTCAGTTTATGTACCCCAACCAGCCGTATAAAATCAGGCTCATCCACATCTTTGTTATCAATGGTATGTACATAAATACATATCCGCCCTCTGTACATATACATATTTATGTATACCTATGATGCACCACAACTCGATTATGCCTGGCAAACCATCACGCAGAGAATGTAATTCCATTCAAATCAATAATTTGATACATACATATTTATTATTGTTATCTTTCGTCTTTGAGAATAAAACCACGACTACAAACGTATGTATGTATGTATGTAGATAACGCTATCCGTGTGTACTGAACGTACCACTTTTTCGCGAATGGAATGACGTAAGCTTGCCACGAAAACGTTTGTTTCTGCAGATAAATATGTGTGCACATCCTGTCGTATATGTATATTACTCACTCTCAATTCTCCGCACTAAATTGCCACTACGTTTCCAACTTTGGTGGAGAAAGGAGTACAAAATCGATTAAAGGTTAGTTTCGAGAAAATTTAACAGTAAACATTTAATAATAATTAACCTATTAATTTGCAGAAAGTGAATTATCTACGAACTTAATTGAAAAATATAAATCTCGAAGAACAATTGAGATACTATTGTGAACAAAGTAAGCAAAATTTTATTACAATTTTTATATTTTTGAACAAACATTTTTGTTGTAGATTGTCATAACATATGTATGTACATAACTATGACTTACACTATTAGAAATGGGGTTACGATTATAACCAGAAAAATAAACGTATCACCATGGCTATGAATTTCTCACCGACTGGTTGTAAATTTAGTAGCTCTTTTGACAATTTAATACAAAGTCGGTGACAATGGTAACCACTCGATGACAAATTTATAACCACAGCGGTAGTCACATACGTTTTGGTTACCCCATTTCTAAGAGTGTACATATGTACATGAAATACACCCAAAAAATGTCTCATTTCACTCTATTCACTTCATCTTGTAATTTTACATTACAGACTCAATTTCAAAACAAATTTGGCAAAATGCTGAGAAATCTAAGGCAACACTTTTCCCGAACTAATTCCAACCCCTCCTCCTCAGACCCTCCACCCCCATATTCTTCCCTCCTCCCCCTCGTAACCCGGATCCCGGGTGACGATCCCACCCCCAAGGAACTCGCCCTCGAAGTATCCCAGCATGCCGACACAGTCCTCATCTCGATCAAACCCCCCCACGGCGTCATCCGACCCCCCGTCAACATCTGCTGCGTTGTCGACATTTCCGGCTCCATGAGCGAAATGGCCACCTTCCGCGACGAAACTTCCGGCGCGGTGGAGAGCGACGGCCTGGAAATCTTGGACCTGGTCAAACACGCCATGAAAACCGTCATGGCCACCATGACCGATTCGGACACCTTGTCGATCGTCACATTTTCCTCCGATGCCCGGGTTGACCTCGCCCCCACCAAGATGACCCAGATTGGAAAGGATGACGCCACCCAAGTTATTGACTCCATGGTAACCGAAGGTTCCACCAATTTATGGGGTGGCCTGGAACGCGGCTGGGACACGATTCGAGGTCAAGGTCAGAGCTTTTTAATTACTCAAATTTCTAACTAATTAGCAATTGATAATTAGAAGGAAAATATTTGGTCTAATTAATTAATAATTAGTAATTAAACTCACGTTACTAATTAGGCAAATTAATTAGAAGATTGACCAATTAATTGGTGATTTTTAGTGATTTTCTAATTAATTAGTAGTTAAAATTAGCCTTTGTAATACTAGTTAAGGTTAATTAGTAATTAATAATTAGCTTAAACATGCTGTTTAATTAAACAATTAATCAGATTGACTAATTAATTAGGTCAAGGTCAAGTCCAAGGTCAAATCCAGTCAATCTTTCTATTCACGGATGGCCTCCCCAACATCATCCCGCCTCGCGGCCATCTCCCCATGATTTCGCAATATTTAGACAAACACGGGCTGCCCTGCGCAGTGAACACGTTCGGGTTTGGTTACTCTTTAGAGAGTGAGCTCCTCGATCAAATCTCCCGCATGACGGATGGCTCCTTCACCTTCATTCCGGACGCGTCCTTTGTCGGGACAGCTTTCATCAATGCTACCGCCAATCTTTACACGGTTATGGCCACAAATGCTAAGGTCAAGGTCATGTCGACCTCCGCCGTTAGGGTGGCGGGAGGCCACAAAAATTCAGTAAGCACCACGTGGGGAACAGAAATTCGGGTGGGGAACGTCCACTACGATCAGAGTAGAGATATCATCTTGCAAACTAATTCACCGGATGAAAAACTCGTCGTCATTCTGGACTATGAAATTCCCGCCGGCGGGAAAAAATTGAATAATGAACAGGAAAGCAAAATAGTGGCTCAGGAGAATGTTTTAAAATTGCGGGAGATACAGCATCACAAATTCAGATACCATTTCATCGACACGATTTATGAGGAACTTAATGAATCTGGCCCTCGAAATGAAGCTCCCGCTAATCCCAGTCAAATTTTGGATGGTATTACGGTACCCATGGAAACGGCACCAGCTGACCGTTCCCCCATGACCATTGACCTTCTCAAGGACATCCAAGGTCAAGTCAGGGAAGCCTTGCAGCCCGATTATTTCTCCCGATGGGGTCGCCACTATCTCTTCTCGCTCCTAGCGGCACATCGGGACCAACTCTGTAACAATTTTAAAGACCCGGGTGTCCAACATTACGGGGCAGGAGCCTTATTTCAAGCACTCAGGGATAATTTTGACGCCACATTTAACCTTCTCCCGGCTCCCAAACCGAGCCGGCAAGGAACCCGAGGGGATCGGGGGGTCAATATGAATTACTATAACAACGCGCGAGGTCCCTGCTTCCATGGGGACTGCATCGTTCCCACGGCGGACGGTTTTAAAAAAGTTGCGGATCTTTCCCCAGGGGATATGGTGGCGACCACCCCAGTGGGGAAGTCTGCTGCCAGGGTAACCTACATCGTCAGAACGGTCATCCCCGAAGGGCAGACTGACCTCGTGGTTTTCCCTGGGGGCCTGAAGATTACTCCGTATCACCCTGTCCTCCATGAAAACGGGGAGTGGAAGTTCCCTGGAGATATATACCCGTCCCAAAGGATACCCTGCGACGCGGTATATAGTATCGCATTAGATGGGAGTTCCTCTATAGTAATCAACTGGGTGTCTTGTGTTACCCTGGGTCATGGAGTCAAAGGTGATGTGCGTGAACATCCCTACTTTGGGAGCGAGCTTGTAATCAAGGATATGGAGAAGGCTGGAGGAGAAAGTGCTAAATTAATTTGTAAAGGGATTATCCGAGACCCCGTTTCCGGTTTGGTTTGCGGAATGGAGCTGGAGAGAGAAGGTAAGGAGATTCTACCTGTTCACTTTCATTCATGTGTCTGATTATGATAGAGAATGAAAATGAATTTCCTGTGATTTGAACGAAAATGAGTGAAAATTCAGTCATTTCAGAGGAGTGAGTGTGAATGAAAGGATTTCTCACTCCTTTCATTTTTCACCCTATGTATGTTTAATACGTGGGACGAAGTAAGAAATGAAGTCAGATGAAGGGGAATGAAATGAGTTTGAATGAAAATGACTGAGTTTGAATGAAAATCTTCAGTCAGAATTTCGTATAACTGAACATTGAATGAAAAAGTTTTTTTGAACAGGTATGGAGGAGATGCCTTGCCACGTCAAAATTTGTAAGATTGAAGACACCCCCTCGTTTCAACCCGCAGTGAAAGGAAATGACGCAGTCCACCGCTAATACATAAAACAATGCGACCTGTAAACAGGCCCAAACCCATTTTAATTTCTGATTCGCATGGACTTAATTTATTTATTTACTTGATTTTTCATTAATCATGTAACTATGTAATTAATTACACGATTGTGATCTATTTTGTTCCTCATATTTAGTCCTGAATCAAATAAAATTTTGTTGCAAGATGATATAAAATGGATAAATAGAAAAAATAGTATTGATAAAAAAGGATAAGATTTTTCCGACTTTTCGCGGGGACAATACCTCCTGTCCTCCAGCTTCCGCCGCCACTTTTGGCACATAAAACTCATCTCCGAAAGCCATTTTGCATGCGTAGGAATTACATATACAAATGTCAACTTAATCTCACCCATGATAAATTTGCTCCTTTTTTAATTAAGCACGCGACTCGCATCCAGTCTTTTGCACAGTTTTGCAACTGCAAACGACTTAATGAAACACAATCTAACAGATACATACATACACATGCATACGTTACATAGGTAATTCATATTTAACAGATTAAGAATATCGTGCAACTTTTTATACAATTTCTGCAAGTCAATCATATCAACGGCATGAATGAATAGCATGGCAAAAACTTGTTCCAAGGTCAAATTAGCCTTGATCCTATTCATCTGCCTCGCATTGATCTCACCAAGTTCTTGGTTTATCATTTGTTACTCTTAACCATACTGAAAATCTCCATGAATTAAGGGACCGTGCAGAAAGCATGTGATCGAGTTGAGCGGAGGTACGGGACAAGACAACCTATCCCTCCCATGTTAATTAGAACAAGGGGCTTATAGGTCACACTGGGGGGGGGCTAAAAATTTCCCGAAAAAGGATCACGTGATTTATGTACGGCCCCTAAAGTCATGCATATTTGTGTAAAGAGGAAAATAAGAGGACAGCAATTTATTTAGCAAAATATCAAATTTGTAAAATAAATTACTCCACATTTATTTAAGTTTCCTGCATCAACAGAAAATTTTTACCCACACAAAATGACCAGAGGGCAGATATGTAAATTCCGCAAAATATGTTTGTTTGCGGCGAGTAATAAGAATACACTTTCTACGATATTTATATTTATGAAATTTAATTTTAAGGAAACCTTAATGTCTGAATGAAGAAAAATATTTTTAAATAAAAACCTCGAAATATTTACCAAAATATTTATATTTAGACAAATACTCCAAATATACGGGAAAATATGTATGTGTATCAACGATAACCATAAAATATGGAAAACATGGAAAACTATCTACTTATGTTTCAATTTTTGCTATGGTTCTTACATAACCGCCATCTGCATACGACATGAATGCGTCGGAATTGTGATTATGAAATACATATTTTTATAAAACCCGACTCAAGGTTGGTCGGTTTTATCGCATAAAACTTTATGCATCTCATAAAAGTTATCTGTATGCATGCAAATTTTGAATGAGATTACGCCTTAAAATAGTTTGTGCTGAATGATTTCTTTATTTTTCCAGATTAAACGAATTGATCCTCATAATTTTGGAAATTGATAAACTAGGCCGGGTCAGAATGAAACCATTTACCAAACGGTGACTCCTCCATAATGGGGGGAGGCTCCTGTAAAGCAAAATAAATACGTTAGTTTTGAATAATTAAAAAAAATGTTTTTTTAAAATTTTTGAATTTTTAAAACTAAAAAATAATTTGTTGGAAATTAAATTTCTAAGAAAATTCTTCAATTCTGGACACATACCATGAACGGAGTATCCACCACCGACGCTTGGAACGGCATAACGGGCAGCATAACCGGAAGTGTAAGCGGGCACTCCTGAGTAGATGTATTGGGCAGAAGCCACGGCAATGATGGCCAAGACGACGAGGAGCTGAAATTTAAAAGAAATCGGTTAAAATTTTCACAAAATGACACGAAGCGTTAATTTCAATTTTCTTTGAATACTTACAAGTTTGAACATTTTAGAGATTGGAGTTTTTGAAGTTTTGTAGTTGAATATGATAGATTTCTGCAGAATTCTTTAACTGAAGGTCGGTCAGTCGGCCAACTGCTATTTATACAATTTCCCATCCAGGGTGGGGTCGTATAGTTGTACATATTTAGTAACGCCCAAATCCATCAGCTATTATGAGAGGAATAAATGTCCAGGCTGAACCTTGAAACGAGTTTTTCCTAAACTACATACAATCAACTCTACCAAGACTTTTTTACATGCTTGATCCAGAGTGTATGCAAAGATAAATCAAAGATTTAATTTAGATTAAAGTCTCCTAACGTATGCTCACAGATTTGGACCAAATTTGCGTCAATCGATCACAAATATAATTGGTATGAAATTTGCAAATGTCACTATCTGCCAATGCTAAAAATCTTTGCATAAAAAGAGGAGAAACCGCATCCCCAAGGCTGGCAAATTTCTCATTTTCCAAATTTGCTGCGTATGCATTTTTCCCGGTTTGGATGAAAATATCTCCGCCAAACCTGCACATTGGCAGATGGTGTCATTTGCAAATTTCATACTAATCATATTTGTAATCGATTGACGCTAGTTGGTTCAAATCTGTGAGCATACGTTGGGAGACCTCCATTGTTAGATATACTCAAAATATTATTCTATTATTCCCTGGCGGATTGAACCACCTTTCAAAATTATGCAATGAAAAGGCATCACTCTGTCTGACAGAGATTATTACAGTGATAACATTGCTACATTTTTTAAAGACAGACTCTGTATTTACATACTTGCCCCGATTCATTACTACTTGCACAGTAACACATACATATTTACATATAATAGGCATGGGCCTCATGATAACATGCATGCATAAAATCCTTGTCAGAACCCAATCGTTCATGGGTCGTGACTCAAACGGAGAATTTTTTGTGAGGATGAGATCATGTAGTTAAAGAATAACATCTTTGTAAGTAATGATCAGACGGCGGATATGTATGTCTTTATAACTTTGTCATACGAAATCAGATCGTACTAAAACTTCGTGTACTGACATCCCATCCAAGTACGATCTCAAAAATTCAAACATAGTTTTCCATACCTTCCATATTTATGGTTTTCGTACATATTTACTACATATTACAATTCATACATATTTTCCGAATTTTTCGCGCATATACACATTTGCCCATACATTTTGAGTATTCTTCTAAGTATAAATATTTTATTGGATATTTCGAATTTTTTTTTGTGTAAAAATCTTTCGTCATTCAGAATTAAGGTATCCTCAAAATTATACATATTTCAATAAATATGGCAGAAAATGTAAGTTGGAAATGATTTTTGATGTACATATTTTAAGGTTTTTTAGACACATATTACATACATCCCTACGCGCACAAGTGACGATTTCATGAAGGCAAACGTGCTGGCAAATTCCGATTTCTTGCCGATGTCATGGGTGCAACAAAACTTACACCGCTTCGGTACCGAATAAGTACTATATTTGGTTGTACCTCCAATACTGACACACCTTCAGTATAAATTCGGCACCGGTTTGTTGGTATACAGCCTACACCGTTCATATGGTACCTATCTAGTACTGGTAAATATCGGTGACGATTTTTAAGTCACCCAATCGGTACTGGCTCGGCAGCTTGATTTTTGTACACATAACAAGAGTACCTGTCACGTACCGGCCAGTTACCGATCAGGGATTGATGAGACTGTAAATTGGCGGGGGTCTCAATCCATCATCTCCAGTGACGAGTTAGATTGCACGTTGCGAATAAAAACCATAAATATGGATTTAAAAAAGTTCTCTGTTGTCCATTTCGTCGACGAAAACAGTTATGAAGTTATCCCGTCGACTTGGATAACCCCGGACCAAACGCGTGGTTCGTTTCCGTCAAATAAACCGAAAGGGCTGCAAAATTACAATCTACACCTGACTCTCCTTACAATTCTGCTTGGCCATTGTGGAACATAAAGATAATCAAGTCTTATGGTAAAAACGTAAATCCACATAATCATGTAATCTAGTTATTTTTGGTATTTAATTACTAATTTTTTATACACAGACAAATTCGAGCGAGCTAACAAGAAGGCTGGAAGTGTGGTCAAAGGACTCGAAACTAGTGACATTGAACAGGTGAGGAAGTCTCGACGTAACATTCCACCACAATTACCGTCGGAACAAATAATCGAACCGGATTCAAATTTAGGTAAGACAGCAACTTCATAATTATATTAACATTAATTAAGGCTTATTAAATAATTTTTATATAATATGATTTTCTATTAATTTAACTAAATAAATTTCAGGAGAATCGGCCAAACTAAATAATTTCCTGACATCAGACCAGGAAGAAGGTCGACAGCATGAACGACGTGAGGTTCACGATAATCCTCAGTCTCTAAGTGAAGCACCCGGATCAGGTAGAATTTACTATCATAATAATTGTTGTTGTCAAAACATACAGTATGAAAATCTTAATTTTTAGATTCGATTATTTATATACAATATTTAGGTCAGGAACTCTTTCTGCAAGTCCACAATCCGGATGTTACGCAACTCCAAGAAGAATTTCGTCGTAAGTAATTCTTAAAATGTTAATCGTATAATTATCCCTCGAATCAACAATACATTAAATGTGTATTTGCTTTTAGGATTCCAAGAGGAATCTCTTCATAACCAAGCCGAATTGTTGGTTCGAATTAACGATTTAACAAAATTAGTTAAGCAAGTACTTTCGTCAACTGGTACTGTTCTGTCCCCTTCAACATGGCCATTAAGAACATTGGAGGATTTTAAAACTGTGGACGAATTAATTAAAGATCCGAAAAATTTTGCTGCCGAGGTTACTTACATTGATTTGATTTATACACAAAATTACAATCAGATTAAAAATTTAATTTTACTTGCTTCATACGTTTTTAGTTCAAAGCATTGACAAAGATTCGTGGAGGATCTTTATTAAACCATATCTATTCGACACTGGGTTCGATATTTGCTCATGAGTTAGCACTTCAGATAAGGTGGACTGATGCTTCGGGAAAAGTTCAACTCCAAGGGTCAGAATTGGCGAGACTTGTTAGAGGTAATTAGTATAATCTTGTCATAGTTTAGCGTTTTTCTGTAAATTTGTACGTGTTGTGTATTTGTATTTATGAAAGTATTTATATTCATGTAAATTCACAGAGGCGGTAAAGTTTACTCGAGAGGAGGACCAAGACGCGACCGACAAGAACATTAACTCAATAATTGCAAAATGGTTCCGACAATCCCCTGATCGGAAAGGAGGCAGCGGATCTAGGAGAAACGTTAGCAGCGATGGAAACACCGAGGAGAACCATGGAGAGGAAAATACAGAAGAAGGTGCAGTCGTCACTTCTGAAAATCAGGCAGGCAACTTGTTGTAGTGTTGACGCACATGAAAATAATTTAGACAGTATGGAGGTTATCGACTCACACGAAAATAATTTAGATAGCGTGGATGTTTTTAACGATTCAAGTAGTACTAGTGTAACTGATTCACCTCCTAATTATTTAATTAGCCAACAAATTACAGATGATTTAGTTGATGGCCCAGTATTAGGAATAGAATTAGAGGCATACCGCTCTATAACTGTATCAAAAAAGTCGCAACTAGTGAATTGGGCATTGACACATAATGTTACCCACTCAGCTCTATCTGATTTATTAGGTTTAATTAGAAATTGGCTTCCTAATGATAATTTTCCAGTTGACCCCAGAACACTTCTCCAATCCCCTAAACAACTAACTTTAGTCCCTCTCGGTGCTGGGGAATTTTTCCACTTCGGTATAACTCCCCATATAAATTCCTTTCTGAACCAACAAAATTTGTTCAGCTTTTCATTGCCAAAATTTGATAGCTTAAATTGTTCTAATCTATTGACCATAACTATTGGCATCGATGGGCTTCCTATTTCAAAGAGCTCAACGTACGAATTTTGGCCCATTCTTGGACGAATTGACCAAGATAAAACATCACAAGTTTTTGTGATTAGTTTATATTGTGGACTTAAAAAACCAGACAATATCGAAAGTTTTTTGGGCCCCTTTGTTAATGAAATGAATAGTTTAGAACAAAACGGATTACAATTTAACAATACACTCTTTAATATTAGAATTCGCTGCATTGTTGCCGATGCTCCTGCTCGTAGTTTTGTGAAAAACATAAAAACGCACAACGCATATTTTGGATGCGAACGATGTTACCGGCGTGGGAAATGGTATAGAAATAGAGTAACATATCCAATTAAAAATAAGGCTGATGCGTATACAAATGATTCGTACAGGCAACGGTGGTACCAATCTCACCATAAGGGCACCTCGCCTTTAGAGATTTTAAAACTGGACATGATTTTTCAGATTCCACTCGACTACATGCATTTAGTTTGCTTAGGAATCATGAAAAAATTGTTAACTGTTTGGGTGGAAGGACCGCTTCCTCACAAACTTTCCGTTAAACAAGTAAGGTTGATTTCAAATAAACTTGAGGCATTTAGAAAATATATTCCATCAAATTTTAGTAGGAAATGTAGAGGTTTGGATCAACTTCGTCATTTCAAAGCTACAGAATATCGAACATTTTTATTGTACATAGGGCCATTTTCATTAAAAAGGGTTTTGACTACAGAAAAATTCGATCATTTTCTACATTTACATACAGCTATGTATATATTAGCAACTGAAACCCAATCTAATGAATGGCTTAACTTTGCAGAACAATTAATAGATAAATTTGTTTCACTAATTCCAAAGCTATATTATAAAGAAATGATGGTGTACAATTTTCACAGTTTAACTCATATCACTGACGAAGTTAGAATTCATGGCTGTTTAGATAGATTTAGTGCTTTCGAATTTGAGAGTTTCATGCAAAAAATTAAGCGTCTTTTAAGAAGCAATTCTTGTCATTTATCCCAGGTGGTCAATGGTCTGGAAGAAATTACTCGAAATAATTTTAATCACACAACTGCTGCTGGTAATTTTACGCGAGGCAAATCTCTATCAATTAATGATAGAGATAACTGCTATTTAACAGACGATGGCAGATATTGTATTATTAAATGCCTTAACCCATTATGTGTACAGTATTTAGATGTATGCGATATTAAGTGGTATAAAACTCAA